TTTAGGGGGGTTTGGGGTTTTTTTTTTTGGGGGAATAAGGTTTTTTGGGGTGGGGCCTGTGGGGGGGGGGGGGGCATCAGGGTTGATTGTTGTGGTGGTGGTTTGCATCCGGGGGAACCGCATCGTTCACATGCTCGTGCCAATGTACCCACCAAACCGGGCATGTTTCCAAGGGACACTGGAACATGCTAGCTTGTATTGTACCACATCAGTCGGTATCAGTGGACGAACCAATCAAATCTCCCCACCCACCCACATCCACCATCCCGTACACCCACACAAAGAGACCGGGCACACGTTCATTCGACAGGAGTTCAACAAAACCACAGCTATGTAGATAGATTGTGGCATACGCAAGAGCTAGGCGCGGAACACCCTCCCGCATTGGACCGTATTGAGGCACACGGCGCCTCGCGTAACGATGGAATCAATCTGGGTGAAATCCACCGGTCAAACATACGTAGGTAAACCAAGACTGCGATGAAATGAAGCACTCACGCTGTCCTCGTATCCAAGAACGCCCTTCATGCTCCCGTCGGAGGCTTCCTTCATCTTGGCGCAGATCTCTTCGTAAGTCGTCTCCGTCGCAAGCTTTACGGTCAAGTCCACCACCGACACGTTCGGCACCGGGACCCTGAACGCCATGCCGGTGAGCTTGCCGGCCATCTTTCGTTGACAGCAAGGTTGATTGTTTGCCAGGTTCGATTTATGCGCCATAGCCCAACAGACGGAGAAGCAGCGGCGGCAACCGACGGCAAACGCAGCAGCGGCGGCGGCGGCAGCAGCAGCAGCAACCAAACGGAATCCAAGATGAGGAAAAATCGAGAGGAAACGTCGAAAAGAGTGGCACAGCAAGAAAATCCGAACCGACGACTACGCTATTCCCATCCGTAGTGCAGCACCCATCGTGCGCCATGGTGGGGCTTCTGCGGGATCTAGCATCCACACAACCTCCTCACCTTACGCACACAGCAGTTTTCTCACAACACTTAACCTATGGAACACTTCGAATGAGGCCCACCCTATCCACGCCAAAGCTACAAAGGGAGGCTTGGACAAATCCACAAGGCTACCGTTTGATCATATTTCGTCTCCGCCGAATATGCGGGGTCCCGGGGTCAGTTTCAGTCTTCCTGACCCAGGGAGGGGCGCTGACCCAGATGCCACGCCGCGCCAACACACAAAAAAGAAAAAAGACAGTCCTGTCGCCAAGAGCTTTGGTACAGACCTATGCGTATAGAGGACAAGTGTCCAACCTTCCGACTAGTGGTCTAACTTGAAACAACGGCGTTCGACCAATACCGTATGCTAGGAAGTGGTCTTGTTTGCATTGAACCAGCTTGAAGAAGTAGCTATCTCGTTAAACTCACCGCGGGGATGACCTTGCCGACAGCCTTTGCGGCACCAGTGGAGGACGGGATGACGTTGGCAGACGCGCATCGACCGGCGCGCCTATTTTTTCAAGGACAAGGATAAGGATAGGCGCGGAAGGCACGAAGGCCGTTAGACTACCAGGAGTTATGCTGGCCTGCTGTGCTTCTGGGGACAAGAACAACAAGGGGAACTGCTCTTTTACGAGCTTGTGCTTCGTCTCCCTTGGGCGACCTCATGTTTCACCATCGTAGTTTCGCGCACCTCCCACTTACACGCATCCATACGTGCATGCGGCCAGAGTGATTTCAGCGACATCTTTACCCTTACCCTCCCAAGTCTTGTCTTGGCACTCACCAGTCCTTGCCGCCCTTGGAGGGACCGTCGACGGTGAGCTGGTTGATCGTCATCGCGTGCACGGTCGTCATTAGCCCTTCCACGATGCCGAAGTTGTCGTTCAACACCTTGCGGAGGGGAGTGTTGGTTGTGTTGTTGGAGGAAGGCATGCATTACGTCACGGCAGGACCGCAAACAGTCGTCGGTTACGGCCCCAACAACACAACAACAAAATACCCAGATGATGAACATGAACATGAACATCGAATTGAGATGCACAACCCACAGCGCAGGAGAGTGCCGAAGTTATAGCGCAGAAGAGTGGATATCATGCACGCTGTGCGTGCAACGAACTGTTGTGTTGTCCAGTGTGCTACATAGACGGAGGGAGCGAGCCACGCGATGAGGACGAAATTGTGATGGCAAGGCTCTTGTACTGTACACCACGGTGGAGAGACATGGGGTTGTCCTGATCATCAGCATCGCTTGGCGTGCAAGAAGAATAAATCTACCTCCAAAGGGACAAGTCTGCAGAAAAAAAAAGAAGCAATTGCCGTTTTCGATTCAACAGCACTGCCGTGCATCTCACACGCAATACCAAAGTACACCAAACCGAGTCGCCACACCGCTTACACCAAAAAAACAACCAGTAATGTAAAGTAGCAACAATCACCGTTGTCGATTCGAAAGCTCTGCTGTGCAGCCAGGCACACCCTACCGGGTCGCCACACCGCTCAGACCAAAAAACAACCAGAAATTTCAAGTAGCACCAGCTCTTTCGAAGGCACACAAAACCCGCAAGTTTAGCGTTAGCGTCAGGGTCAGGTCGGGAACGACCGGGAAATCATCCCACCTTGGTGACAGGCGCCAGGCAGTTAGTGGTGCAAGACGCGTTGGACATGACGTCCGCGCCCCCCTTCTGGTAGTCTTCGTGGTTCACCCCCATCACGTACATCGGAGAGTCGTCCTTGGGAGGGGCAGAGATGAACACCTTCTTCGCGCCGCCTGCGGACAGCGTTAGGGTTAGGGTTTTTACGTTTAGAAACAAGTACCGTAAGGGATGCATTTTTCGGTACGAGTGCACAGCAGTGCGATGGCGCCAGGCCCGGCAAAAGCACATGCTCCCTGGTTCGCGATTTCGGGTGTGGGCCGGGCCGATTGAACAATGGTTTACACGTAATCGATAGCGTCGACCTCGCGCACGGGGCGGCTGAAACTAAACTATCCTGGTACATGATTGCGAAACGAAATATTGGCAGCAGACAAAACAGCGCGGCCCATCCACGCGTCGATCGGTAGGATACAGGATACGCAGCAGGTCACAGAAAAGGTGGCGTCCTTATGGGTTGGGGGTAGGGTGTTGCGGCGCTAAAGCAACACATACCCAGCACGAAAGAGCGCACCAACCTCGGCAGGGTTCAGCTGCTGCGATGCTACACCCCTCACTCCCTCACCGTCGACGTGAGCCTTGGCCTTCTCCGTGGTGGTGAACACCCCGGTCGACTCGCACACGTACTCCGCCCCCTTGCTGGCCCACGGGATGTCGGCAGGGTCCTTGGACGTGAACACGGTGATCGTAACGCCGTCCACCACCAGGTTGCCATCGCTCACCTGTACAACAGAGCGCCAACATCACTTCGTTAGGCATCTGTGCATACCGTACCTTATTGAGTTTGGCTAGCAGGACACGCAAAAGTACATGCGTACATACCCTCTGGCGCGTTTAGTGTAGACTGCATCACTCGGCAACATGAATACTCCCATGTTTTGATATTTTTTGCACGACTCCGTGCATGATCCAGCGCCAGCAGGGTGGGTACGTTCGGCGGACGTTCAAGGAGATGGTTTCGCAACATGGTTTGAGGCAATTTCGCCAGATGGTCGAGGCCGTCGGTTATTTCGCCGCATCGGTGTTCAGCCGACAAACACAAAACACCACCGTCTTGTTGAGCCTGTTACCCACAGGGGAAATATCGCTGTGTGCTGCCTGGGAAATCGTAGAAATATGGGTAGCTTTCGCTGAAACTATGAACTCATTGCTAATCTATCTGAACACCATCTTTTGGATCGAGATGGATTCGTTGTGCCATATTCAGAAAAATCAACACAAAACACCCGATCACTGGGGTGTCCGTTCCGCTGGCTCTTTGGGGGTGGAGGGCAAGTAAACCCAGGCAAGGTTGTATCGTCAGAGCCAGCAGCAAGCTGCAGGCTGTCGCGGTCTTTTTGTGTGCCATCGACTCGTGCAAAACGAGACCCTATGGCAAACATTGATTGGGAACCTACCCACTCCCATCTATGTACACTTGACGCATCGAATTGTTCATATGGGAAAAAGTATTGACGTAGTTCGCTTCGATTGACCGACGTTAACTGATTCATGGTCTTCGTGATTGCTACCATGGATGTATTTGCAACTGCTTCTGTTCTTCTGTTGGAATACGCCGCAAACCTCTACTTACGCTGCGTTTGCCGACCACTTTCAAGGCCATTCGGTGACAGATATCGTTTTCTGTCGGTTGAGTCGGACTGCGAGCCAAGACTTCCAAGGTCATGACAATTCATAGATAGACCAGTCCGAAAACGAGCAACTCCCGGTACAGTAGCAGTACAGCAGTACTGCAAGGTGGCCTTCAACCTTGACGAATCAAACACTTCTAAGATACCAGAAATTGTTCCAACAGACCCATGACAAGGAAAGCAAGTTCAGCAACAACGCTGAAATAATCTGCAGTTCGAAAGAGCCGGTCTGCATATCGGAACGACCAAAGAACACAGGCTGTGCGTCTCGAGTAGACTGAGCAATCAGTATGTAGTGGTTCCTGTAAAAGGCTGGATGCATACGTAGCGCCAAGAGATTTTGCCGGCCATGTATACCGGGCACCCGGCGATATTCAGAGTACGAGATACTTTCAACATCCGATTGTGAGACACCTTGAACTTTCCATCTGTGTCGCGAGCTTTGATCGGCCTTTACTATAATTGTGCGGCCCGTCTACAACGGACACCGCTTTCTATGCATATGATATGATAGAGCAGTCTAAGAAGCACTTCGAGAGGAGACGAGGAGAATTAAGAATTAATCCTCAAAGGGGTGCTGGTGCTCAGCAAGGCTTTGGTGAAACTACAACTAGTTTCACCCATACCATACCATCACAATTCCTACCCACTTCCGATGGTCAACTGACAAGTGCAAGTTGCGGTTGTCGTTGACTCTCACGATACGATACAAAACACCGAAGGCTTGTACTTCAAAAATCCGGTGGATATTTTACCAAGTTGTAGTAGCTGGATTCACCGTTTACTTGACCACCGCTCAAGAGGCTTATCATCACAACTCACCTCGACGGTGCCCGGGAACTTGCCGTGTACGGAGTCGTGAATCAGCAGGTACCTGGGGTAGCACAGAAGACACAACGGCGGGAGGGACGCAGGTTTACATACGCGGGCGGCGAGATATCAGATGTTTGAAACATCGGAACATCAACATCAACCTTGGATCTAGAATCAAGTACCCGTGTAGGAGTCAGAAAAAAAGCCAGCGAGAGGGGGAGACAATAGCCCCGGCCCAAAACTGCGCCTAGATCGCCTGGGCGCCAGTCGCAAGGCAGGGTCTTGGCAGCGAATCCTCGGGCGCCCGCTGTGCAAGCACCGCTCTCGGCAGCAAGTCCGCCCTGCTGGGAGGGCGGCGACAGACCGAGAGCCAGCGCAACGCCGCGCTGGCGCCTGTAAAGCGGTTTCATGCCGCGCGGCGCTGGTCGGAGGCCAAAATGCAGACGAGAACGACCAAGACAAAGACACCACGCCTGAAACAGTTGAGGCATGCGGTGCCGCGGATACATGCTTTCGTGCGCCCCGGGGTTCGGAGCCCTTCAGTTAGAGGGGCAAGACCGTAGCTGGCGTGAAGTGCAGGGGAGGGCGAAGGGATGGCGAAAAAAAAAAAGAAGCGAACCAGCAGCTACGGCTACTTTTGGTGCTGTCCTTACCGCATGTAGTCGATGTCCATGAAGGGGTCGTTCACCGCCACCACGTTGACGCCCTCCTTGGCGTAGCATGCCCTGAACACCATCCTCCCGATCCTGCCGAAGCCATTGATCCCCACTCCGATCATCTTCTTCGACGATGTTACAAAGGTCCGAGGCCAAGCTGTGTGAAGGATAGATTCGGAACCGGTGTAAGGCTCTATAACCAGCGGGGTGTGCTGACCTAACGCTGGTGTGGTACGCGCGGTTGGTGACGCAGGCTGTGGGTGTGAGCTGAAGGGGCGGGTTCGTTGAACTGGATGTGTGCTTGGATTGGATGTGCTGCTTTGTGTGTGCAGCTCAACTGTGTCTGGGCGGAGAGTGAGTTGATGTGGGCGATGTGTTGATGTGGGTGATGAGCTGGATGTTGTCTGAATTTGCGGCGGAATTACATTCAACGCTGTTCAGTGTTGAATCTGGCTGGCTCGCTGGCTCTCTTCTTTTCTTCTTTTTCCAGATCTTCTCCCATCACCCCTGCCCCCCCCCCAAATAACAATAATTTTTTAGTAATCGAAACATAGGGGTGCAAGGTATTCTCTATTCCGAACTGTGTCACCCCTCTCTATCGGTTGTGTCGGCTGCAATCGGCTGTGCGCGCCAGATACCGCCACGCCGTGCCCACCGCCGTACGACAAACGAAAGGAACGACAACAGAGGTGTGTGTGTGTCTGGGAGTTGGAGAGCAAGGTCGATCTGATAGTGTGCCGCGAGACTGTCGTTTGAGTGTGGGAAGAGGTATGATACATTGACATCTCTCGATCACAGAAACCTGCTCTATATGCACGTTTCGAAACGAATTCGCTTGCTGTGTAGGTTATCATGCTGCTGTGTACAGCTATGATCTCCTCGGATCATGAGAGGTATTGGTTACCATGCCTGGCCTCTATCTCATCTTCGCGTCGTCGCGTCGTTAGCCCACACAGCGGATTTCTTTGTGCGCGGTTTCTCCTGCTTTGTTCGCATGGTACGCACTGCAGCTACGCCGGCTTTTAGTTGTGTCCGTATGCCGAGCGGCGGTTTGAATTTGTGAATTTGTGCCGCCACGGCAATCTGGTTGGCAATCGTAGGTGACGCTTACGCACCCACTCGGAATGTGCAAGATACCACGAGGTTTCGCCATGCATACGTTAGGTAGATATGCTGATGCGCCAGTATCGTGACATATGTATATCCCTCCCGCTTGCTGTGTTCTGTAGTGTACAGCGGTTGCGGCTGTACACTCCTCACACTGAGAGGACCGCTTAGATGAGATTGCGGGGCCCTTACGCGGAGGGTGCTCGTAAACTTGAAACCAAGGCTACATACAGTAGCAGGGAAGACGGGAGCTACGGTCCACGGTGGGACATGGTGGGATGGGATGGGATGCCAGGGAAAGTTATTTGCAGGCCGACAGCGGTAGCTGACGCTTATACACCAGGCGGTTACCTACTACCCATCAGCATCTTCCCGCCCTAATGCAGTTCCCCCGTGCCCGTGAGAGCGACTGGATCCGGTAGACTGCTGTACCTTACCCGCTCTCTTCTCCTACCTGTTTCCCAGCTACTTGTGTTCCTGTCGTGTCGTCAATTGCGTGCCTCTGCTGTCCTCTTGGAACACGCCCACCCACCTATTCCTTCCTTGTACAACAAGTTTCTCCGCCACAGGCGCGAATTCGCAACCCATTCGGAGTGCAAAGCGATTGCCTTTCGTTGCCAATGGACCACAGACACATGTTCATGCATTAAAGCCCACCCGCGCCGGTGACTGCTGTGATCGTTTGTACCGCCACCATTTGTGCCTTCCTTGTGCTCGTCCAGCATCAGCCTTCAAAACCGCACCGCAATTAAAGTATGGCTTATTCTGGAGGATTCAAGGAGGAAGATGACGACTTGGACATAGACGGGGAGGAAGAGGGGGGAGAGATCAAGGCCGTAAACGACCACTGCATCCTCTTGATCGACGCTAGACCGAACATGTTCGAGTCCTTGAATGACGAGGGAGATGTGAGAATGCTGACTGCTTAGTTAAATTAAAGCGTTTGGTCGTTGCGACAATCTCTTGAAGGGCTTGAACTCACCCCGTTGAGTTCCAATATCCTGGGTGAGCGCAGTCGGGGTCTTCCTTCCTACAGTAGCATCTTATGGCGTTTCCTCAACGATAAGCCAAGTCGACTACACGCTTGCACGTTCCTCAAACAGACACCGGGTTCAGGCCTTGCGCAACCCACAACACATGACGCTGGGTGGTGTCCAGCTTTCGTTTTATTTTGTATAAGTCTTGGACCTGGCAGGGTAGAGGGGTAGACGCTGTAGCAGCGGCAGTAACGTCTTCCCTGTAGAGTTATGACCAACTCCACGATATATCGATCGACCCGGATGAGGTATTGTTAGGTTCTACAATAAGGTGGGGAAATGGGGGGGGCTGCCTCAACCATCTTCGCTAACAAGGTTTCAACAACGACTCCCCTCCTCTTTTGCCAACCAGATGGCACAACAGCTTGGACACATTAACATTCCGTTTTCATACCGCAGGAAATCTTGCTGGTTTTCCGCACCAGACCGTCATGATTCGCGCTCCAGGAGGGTGGGCGTGTTGAAGACGTAGATCGTCACCTGTTGGGTGGTGCTGGCGTCTTGAAAGCGGTATCTGTATTCAATTCAGCAAGGCTTTTTTATTTCCTTCGATGCCAGTAGCTGTTATTCGTTCTCTGGCTGTGGTGTTGCTGCTGGACTGCTGTCGCCAATGCTAATATTGAGCTGCTGCTGCTGCTGCTGCTGCTGCTGCCTCTGCTTGTGCCTAACCCTACCGCATTTTTAACTGGCAGACACCGTTCCATGCGTCTATGAGAACCGCCGTCCAGCTGATGAAGAGCAAGGTAGTGCAAAGCGACAAGCACCTCGTGGGAGTCACTTTCTTCGGTACCAAGAAGACGTCCGACATCGAAGTGGGTTCTTTATGTTCGCACGATTGCATGATCCGTGTCTACAAAATGTCGCACTGAACACCGCAAAAGCTCGACACGCCCTGGTTTATTCTCACGTGCCCCTCTCGCACACCCATTGCTGGCTGACTGCAGCAGTGGAGAGACACTCAGGCTGGTCATGATTGTAGAGATAGGAGGTACCGTCTCACCTGATTCTCGGTTGCAGGACGTAGTAGAACCGTTTGGAAACGTGTTGGCCGTAGTTTTGACCATTTGTTTTTGGCTGTCTTGCCTCCCTGCAGAGCTAAAACGTTTGAGCTTTTGACACCCTAATGCCATCTACCTCAGCCCGAAGTTTTTCAGTTTGCATGCACTTGAGTGGACTGAATGTGCTATTTCGGTGGTGTACGTGGTCCTTCCATGCTTCTCATCTGTAGTCCACACCTATTCCAGTCTCTCCCCGTGCGTCTGGCATGAGTTGGAAACGGCGAGAATACTGTGGCTATCAATGAGCAACTATCCCTAACCCTAAGTTTATAATGACAACACACCCTTTGGTGTGATTCTGGATAACTATCGTGCGCTCCTGGCAATCATGCTGAGCTTGTCGCGAGATGATGATGCCCACATAGTGTTGCGTCCGGAGAAAATTCTGTACCTGGCAAACTTATTCATCAAGATGGGGTGTACAGGTCGTTGGCCATGCTGCAACCTCGCAGTAGTCGCTCTGTTCTGCTCATCCACCCTCACCTCGCATCCCGGCCATCGTCGCTGTTGCTGCTGCCGTTGCTGGTTATGCTGGTGATGCTTGTGCTTGTGTCCAGGAGAGCAACGAGAACGTTTTTGTCGTCCTCGACCTAGCGCCGCCGAGCGCAAAGCGGATCCGCGACCTAGATGTGCGTGGGTTGTTTGATGCAGTCTTCAGTCTTCTCTCAATCTCTTGGGGGCCCCTTTGTGTCGTCAGTGTCCGCATGCCCACGTAACATCGTTCAAGTGAGACGACAAACGCCACTCTCGCGGTACGACGCGAGCGGGGCTGTACCGAGTTGATGTGGAAGTTCAGGAAGTCTTGTTTCGTTTACAAAGAGTTGTACTTGTCTGGTGTTCAAAGACATAAACTTGGCTGAAACCTCGCCACCATTTCTCCTTGCCAACCTTCCCTGCGAATGACGTTTGCCAGTCATCGTGACATTGCCTCTTCTTCATCGGTCCTACCGTAGCTCCAACTGCTGGACCGTACGGGAGTTATGTACCAATACCGATCATTCCTTAGTTGAACACCTCCTGTTGATTGTCATTTCGTGTCTGTGACGTCACGCAGGCTCTGGCGAAAGGAGAGGTGAGCTTCGAAAACAAGTACGGGTCGATCGGTGCAGGCGATCCGTGCCCCTTGAAAAGCGGACTGTGGTCATGCCAGACGGAGTTCAACACCATGTGAGTGTGAGGCGTTTCCACCGCGTGACGTTTCTCTGCTGCCAGCCTGTTTCGAAGTACTCTGGCAGCGATTTGTCGAAAGTATGGACTTTTGCGTCATGTGGCACAGCAGCACCGCGTGGTATGGGATTGCGGTGCGCTGTTTGGTCGACGGTGTGAAGTACGGCTATGTAGGTTTTCTCCGGTTCAAAGCTGCTGTTGTTGCACACCCAAGGATGTCTAGATCGCAACATTACTCCGCCCTGTTGAGCCTTTATCCCCTTTCGGTGTGTGGCTTGCTTTGGCGCGTGCTTCGATCGCACGGTGTCTTGTTTGGCACGACAGCAAGCAGCCGCTAGATCACAAGCGCATCTTCCTCTTCACAAACGACGACGACCCGTTGAGGGGAGACGCAGAAGAGACCAAGAAAGTTCACATGATCGCGCAGGTGAATAGCCACCCTACAATCAGTCACTCAGTGGTTTTCGACACAGATTGGAGGGGATGCATGTGGTATCGATTGTGGCGGATGTCTCGTATTCTGAGGTATCAACATAGAGCGTGTAAGAGTGCATTTTTTCTCTTATTTTGTTGTCAGAGTTTTCGTGTGAGGTCGTAATGTCACAGGGAAGTGGGCCCTTTCTCACGATGAGTTGACAACGTTAACTCGAAGATCGATCGTGGTGATGTCGTGTTAGCTGCTGCTTCCTGTTGCGGTAGGAATGTTTTCGCCCTCCACACTAAACTCCACACTAAAGGCGTTGCGAATAGAGAGGAGAAGAGAAGATCAGAAAGACAAAGGTAGAGGAAAGGAGAAGAAAGGAGAGAGATAGATAGATAGAGAGAGAGAGAGAGACAGAGACAGAGACAGAGACAGAGAGACAGAGACAGAGAGAGAGAGAGAGAGAGAGAGAGAGAGAGAGAGAGAGAGAGAGAGAGAGAGAGAGAGAGACAGACAGACAGACAGACAGAGAAACACAGGCAGGCAGACAGATAGCGACACGTATTCTATCCTGGCCACTCCCTGGGTTTTGTTTGATCTCCTCCCTCTCCTCTCCTCTCGTCTTTTCTCAACCTGGAAACAGTGGTTCGCAATCTCACCCGACGCCTTTCTCGCCGCACCACCCGCACGGTGTGGTACAACGTGACGCTGGCCCCATCATTAGCATCGTTGGCGTCGTTCTCATCATCGATCGCTTGGTCCTTGCCTGCGTTGTTGGGCCTGCCTCTTACAGGATGCAGTGAATGCGTCTATCGAGATACAGCTGTTCCACATCAAGAGGAAAGGGGCGCCGTTCAACCCAGATACCTTCTACCGTGCGATCGTCACCGGCGATGGGGATGACTACAATGAGCAGGTGAACAATTGTTGTTGCTGTCTCCATTTACTATTTAAACCGTTCCGTGATCAATACTGTCTATAGTGTCTGTACTGGTCCAGCTGACTCGGAGGCCTTCCGTGGCCCCAAGCTAGCTACCCCACGGCCTTCCGTTATCGCGCTCTCGGGATGAAAACTTATCATTTTTTTTTTCTGTTTCTCATGTTGTTGTCGTTGCAGTCCCTTGGCGACGGGGCCGAATCGACGAATGAACTGGTGGACAAGGTTCGCCGCAAGGAGTTCAAGAAGAGAAGGGTAAGTAAGTCAAGGAATCAAGAAACGTGATGGCTGCACAAGAGCACAGGATCCCATCCAGGCATTAAAACGCTTATCGGACTGAAAAGTGTGGAAATAGGAGCAGTATTTACATGATGCAAGAGCACCGTGATAGCGATATGCTTGCGTGCAGGGCTCATCCATGACCACGTCCCTTTCGCCAATCGCATCGTGTGTGGTGCTGACCACATGTATCTGTTGTTGCACGCGTCTTCGTGTGGCTCATCAGCTGGCCCGAATGCCTTTCTACCTTCGAGAGGGGCCAGAGGGGACCGGGGTGTCCTTCGACGTGCAGGTATGGCCATTCATGGTTGCCATGATCTGTGTTCGACCTGAAGGAGCTCTAGAACGTCGAGTAGGAAACAGGGGTTGAGAGAATTTTATGTTTGCTGAACTGTCAAGAGAGACGTATGGGTTCCTATGCCGCTTACACTGCTTTAAGCATGTTGCTATGTATCACCTGGAGTTCTCGCCTGCTGCAGAGATAGCTAGCTGCATTCGTCGTTTTATCATTCTGAATATTAGCTACACCGGACACATCTGTTCCCATTTGGCACTTGTATTGTTTTCCACACACATATGTAGCGCGCCTGTTGTGCCCAACTGGACGTCGTAGCAGAGTCAGCGTCATGAAACCTCGCAACACCGGAGTATACCTCTTTCTCTCTGCGTCCCCCCCCGTCGTGCTCCCACGTACACAAGCCCCCCCCCCGGCGCTTTGGTTTGTCTTTTGGCTGTCCATCCCCATCGGCGGCGTGTCGCTGTACTGCGTGCATCGACCAACCAGGTGTTCAACATGGTCCACCCTGCGAAGAGGCCTACTCCCATCCACCTCGATGCTAGGACGAACAAGCCGGTTCAGATCATCAGCAAGGTCAACGCCCTCCCACGTTCTTAGCGCTCGCCTTGGACTGTGTACTCGATGTTGTATTGACTTTAAATACCTTGAGCCTAAGCAAAGCTTGCTGTTGGTTGAGGCGCCGGCATGGAACAGCAGTACTGCAAGAGGCGTAGAGATGGCACCCCTCTAGACGGATTTTCAAAGCTCGATTGCTCCACAACCATGTGGGCGCGGAAATAACCCGACACATCTACGGAAAACCCTCGACGAGATGTTTCCATCACCACCATCGGACTATTGGTGTTAGCTCTAGCTCAAGCATGGTTGTGGAGAAAGTCGAGCTTTGAACATCGGTCTAGGGGATGGTGCCATCTCTCCCCCCGCCTCTTACGGAATACCACGGTACGGTATACGGTACGGTACAGACAATCGCGGTTGTGGAGAAATCGAGCTTTGAACATCGGTCTAGGAGAGGATGGTGCCATCTCTCCCTCCACCTCTAACGGTAGTCGTGGTCCCCGTCGTTTGAACACGAAGCGACGCGACTGGCCACCACGCTCAAAGATCTTTCGAGGTGGGCATCCTGTTTCTTATTTCAGCGTTCGGTGTGATCGGTGCTTCAACTCTTTCTCAATTGCCTAAGGCGGTGAAGAGGTACTGTAAAACTGGATAGGGTTAGGCAAGGTACTAAATAGAGCGGTCAAAGGCGCGATCAGCACTCCGGATTGTGCTTTTCAAGGAGATCGTCAGTTCTACGCGTTTACATATAACGCGCAACCGTCATCTCGTTCAGCATATTTTGAGTCTCCTCTCTTAGTCATCTCGTTCAGGGCCTCCTTGCATTTAAACGCTCTTCTTGGCTTTGTCTCTTTCCATGGATGTTTTGACCCGTTCTGATTGCTGGCTGCTTCTTGCCGCTCTCGTCGGCAGAGGGCGGATGTTGTTGGCATTGGTTTCTTGGTCAGCATATCGCCCACGTCACACCAAATCAAATGGCGTGACGTCACGTTGAATCACCTTGTCCTTGAGGGCACTCCTCGTCTGTTGCGGACAAAGCCGTCCCATCGCGTCAAATTTGGTGTTGATCGATGGTGGTCGTGTACTGGTGCGGTTGCCACTGTTCGACGTCGACTGTAGAGACACCCAGGTCTCTGGTCGCATGTGCTACGTGGTACAAAGTCGTCACGTACTACCGCCGACCCTCTTTTGTCTAATTGTTTACTTTACCTTGTTCCGTAACCTTGTTGTGTGCTCAACAGGAAAACGCAGAACGTAACGCTGGGCTGCTCACCTGAACTGCTGTTCTTTTTTGTTGTTGTCCACCTCGCTTTTGTCCATGAACTAAACAATACATACAACAGTTGATGGACGACAAGACCGGGGCGCAGTTGGACGCCCACGAGGTCCGCACCTACCTAGAATTCGCGGGCGAGAGGGCCTACATCTCGAAAGACGAGATGGTGAGTCGTGGTGGCGTTGATTCCGATCTTTCAAAGGGTGGTTGAATTTGGTGCGGGGTGGTTGCAGTACTGCTGTGGTGCGGGGGTGATGTTGGTGAGGGTGGACGGTGGTGTTTTCGTGTGCCTTGCTATTTTCCGCAGTTTCGCTGTGTGTGTGTGTGTTTTTGTCTTGTCCTGCGGGTGCGTTGCTGTTAATTGATCAGCAGCACCCGTTCCCGGCGCTGTGCGGTTTGTTCTGTGTTGGTTATTTCTGCCATGTTTGGTGATGATTTTGAGATGCCTAGTGGGGTTATGTTGTCTAGCACAGTCGACCACCGCGTTGCGTTACCTGCGGTGGCTTTCGTCGGGTGTTGATTGCCCCATTTCTTTTAGCTGCCCATTTCTATTATCTCACCAACCACTTTTGGACGAACAGCGTCTCCACCAGAACAGGAACGTTATTTTGCGCTTGCCTTGTCTGGATAGATCGCTCTTGCGCGCCGATCTTGTGTAGACTGTCAACCTTTCTTCTTTTTTTACTACGGACATGTGAAACTTCCGTTTTTGGGTATGCTTAGTGGTTGTGTTAGTAGACGTGCTTAAAGAAGAGATACAATTTAGTAAAGATTCTTAACTTTTATCTTTCAGTAGAAAGAAGACCTCTTATTTTAGTTTATTTAAGCTTTGTTTTTGCAAGTCGTTAAAATAAAATAATTGATTGTTGAATAAGAGACGTTGCCGTTCCGCCTGCCTTGGTATATGGTATGCTAACTTGCATGGTGCGTCGTAACCCTCTGACTTCAACCTGACCTGACCTGACCTGACCTGACCTGACCTGACCGGACCTGACCCTTCGTTACCACCAGGGGACTCTGAAAGGCCTGTACCCCAAGGGACTGACTCTGCTGGGCTTCCGACCAAACAATACCCTGCGGCCAGACTTCAACATCCGCAGCCCGTACTTCCTCTACCCAGATGAAGAGAGCACCACGGGGTATGTAAGGCCATGTGTTGAGGTTGTCGCTGTTGTAGATGTCATTGTTGACGACTGGTATTGTCATGCTGCGACGTGTTTCTCCTTGGGGATGGAAGTACTGCACTCAATCGACAGCGCGTCTCTGAACGCCTTGCTGTCATTCATGCCGAATTCAGTACTTGAGTCAGCAGCAGACACCGTTGATACGGTGATCTCTCCTTTGTGCCTGTTCGAAACATGCCCGCCACACGATGGTGGTAACCGCACGTATACTCCATACTAACGCGTACCCCGGCATGTAGTACAGTAACAGTGAGATGGAGCAAAATAGACGTGGCTCGGTGGGCTCCAAAAGAAAGCGATGTCTAGATCACCAAAATATCAGAGTACCGCTCCTGACCTACTTTTCTACACTCCCACTACATCCGAAATCGTTGTGTATTTTGGTGTTCCGCGAAGAAACAAGCCAAATTCACCGTCTATCCACAGATACGGGTCTGGGACGTCTGGGACATATTGGCGATGCGTTCATGGTGTTACGTTCATAATTTACCGTTATGTTTCCTATCTGTGTTATTGATTTCTTCTACCGTTACGTTTGCGGTTACACGACGCAGCTCTGCGAAGGCGTTCATCGCTCTGCACGCCGCCATGGTCGACAAGAGGGTCTACGCCTTGGCAAGGTTCACAAGAGCTGCTGGAGCAGCACCCAGGTGAAAAAAAAGAGAGGGCAACCACGACAGCACCCACACGGGCAGATGTCCAGAGACGAGATGGCAAACGCCATGCTTCACTCAGATCGCGCGGTTGTGTTCGTCACTGTAGTCCACATCTTGGCCTGCCTCATACTCTTGACCGCTCGGCCGAACGTTGACGTTCGCCGTTCATCACATGCGCTCCACACCACGAGCAGCGTCCAGACGGACAAGGAGACGCCTAGGTCTCGGCATTTGAACACCTGACGCGAACAGACGTTCCACCTTCACAGAACAGACGCTGTAGTTGTTGTTGTTCGGTGGGTAGCATCACCGTACACGTAGCGCCTGTCACGGCACCTATGCCATCATTTCGACAACGTGTGGCTAACGAGTGGGTACGGTGGGCTGCGTGAAGTACCGCGCCTCTGGACCGATTTTCAAAGCTTGATTATACAACTCCACGACAAAGAGGGTGCTAAAACCACACCATACATATTTGGAAAGCTCTCGAGGAGATGTGTCCTACGCCGCCGGTTTCGGCACTCTGTCCCTGCTGTTTTCTCTGCCGAGCAATCGGGCTTTAAGAGTTGGTCCAGCGCTTGTGGTGCCTTATGCAACACATGGTAATTACTCACGTGGGATGGACGTGAAGACATGGAAAGGTTGCAAATGTGGGAGCAAAAAATCGCGCCGTGTTGTTGTTGTTGTTGTCTGCCAACCCCGTGGCCTTGTGCTGGATTCGTGGTTTGCCTATGGTACAATACAGACCCTGCAGGTGTGTTCGGCAAGATATGGTACCCGTAGTGAGCGAATGAGCCATGTGGCGGAACCAGGTATTCCACAATATTGTTGGGGAAAACATTAACAGTCGTTGAATCTTACGACGACGGATCTTTTGACAAATCGTGTACGACGCACGTTGTCGTGCTTGTCGACTCCTACCATGAGTGGTCCGATGCACTGCTGTGGCATGAATCATGCCATGAGTCATGCGACGAGACATGCTGCGGGTAGGTCTCTTGACTCACCTGTGCCATGGTATGATGTTCGGATGCACGCATGTACTGGATCGTGGGGTAAAGGATGGTGGCTTTGCGGCCTCAGGAGGAAGTAGTCGAAGACGGCGAACAGCTGCAGCCTGGCGGGTTCAACACCGTGGTGCTCCCCTTCGCAGACGAAGTTCGGGAAGCGAAAGCACCACAGACCTCCGACGGCGATGTGAAGGCGGAAGGTGGGAAGGACAGTTCTCCCGAACGTCCAAAGGGCGTGTTTGCGGGTTGTTTGGTAGCGTTCGTTGGTTCCTTCGAGTTCGGCATGTTTCCCGGTTGCCTAGGTCCGTGGTCGGTGGTTGAATTCGGTGCTATTATTTGCTGCCTTGCGGCTTGTGGTGGTGGGCGTCAAACAATCTGTTGGACTAGAATGCCATTTGGGAGGTTTCATGCTTTCATGCAAATGCGGCCACCGCCAATCTTGGTTGTCGGGAATCTCTCGCGTCTGTGTCTTTTTTTGCTTCCTGCTCAGGCGGCGATTGCTAGTGTCGCCTGCTGGGCCATCACACATATCGTATCGTATCGCTTGCTGAACTTCAGGTTTTGCCTACTGAGGCCGTGCTACTACGTGCCAAAGACGCCGCCTATCCACACATCCGGTTTGCTACACTGCGGTACTTATAGTGTACTGTGGTGATACTGTTGTGATACTGTTGTGGTGTGATCCGCTGCGTGGATGGTCGTTGCATGGGCCGCGATGAAGCGATGCCATGAGGTATATGGTGACACGCTGTGCTGAGCTGCTGCTTGGTGACTTTTGGCTTGTTGTGCCTTGCTTTCAGTGAACGAGGGCGGAGTGTCGGCTGCAGAGGGCGTGGTGAAAGCCTTAAAACTCGAAAGCTTCGACTTCCGCAAGTTCGAGAATCCGGTTCTCCAGAGGTATGCACCCGCCGAAATGCCGCGCGATGTTCCACGTCAGTTGCCAACACTATTGTACGACAACAGCGGGCAAATCAATTCACTGCTGTGCCGTCTGAACACCAGACTCCCCTGAATAAATGGGAAGGCGTGATATGTTTTGGCGTATTTCACCGCTATAGGAGACACGAATCGTAATTGCCGAGCCTCGAAGAACAGAAAACAAGATCTTCTTTAGGTCACGAGGAAGAGGAGACCTTTACGTCACGAGGAGGAGGAGACAGGCCTCATCATGGATTGAATGCAGCTGTGGCGAGCCATTGCATCTCGCAAGTCACTTTTCTCAAGTCACCGAAAGCCCTCGCAGCGTTGTACTTGGTTCATTTGATATGTGTTCTGCTGCCTTGCGCTTTTGGTTTTTTCAGGCATTATGCCGCGCTGCAGGCTCTTGCTCTTTCCGAGGAGGAAATCTCATGGGACCCGGAAAAGGACGACAGGACGCGGTCAGTTTACCGATTCTGTTGTTATTATTGTTGTTGTTGTTGTTGTTGTTGTTGTTGTTGTTGTTGTTGTTGTTGTTGTTGTTTGTTGCTGATTTTGTTGCTGGCGCTTCTGCCAGTGCTGCTGGTAACGATCGTTGAAGTCAATCAGTGGTAAAAATATTAGTGGTAAAAAAATCTTCGGGTTGTTATTTCGTTCATTCCTGGCGGCGTCGACGATGGCTACACGGCCATGCCACCAATCATTGCTCCTTTCCCTTCGCTGTCCTTTGAAACAGGGCCTTCTCACGTGTTTGTACCGTTACACCTCGCGCAACCCGTTATTCTGGTTGGTGCGAACAACCGCCAATGAACCTTCGCTGATTGTGCTTCAGGTTCGATCCACTATCATCTTGCGGCGGGACCACTAGCCTTGCCTAGCCTAGCCTAGCCGTCGTACGGTCTGCAGATTTGGTGTGATACGATCCTCTGTCGTCGGAATGCGAGCAGGCCTGACGAGAAGGGATTGGACGCCGCGGGTGGTCCTGTCTTGGAAGAGTTCAAGGTCTCGTACGGAGGGGACCAAGAAGATGACGTGCCCGCTGCTGGCGCCAAGAGGTCGGCGGGAGGATCGGTGAGGAGATTCAGTAGCTGACGCGTAACCGGTTGGCAGCAGTATCGGCATGTTTTTTCGGGTTTCATTGTCTCTTCCTCGTGTTCTCCGACGGCTGGTAACAACTCAAAGAGTTTTTTGTTTGTTGTTGTTGTTGTTGTTGTTTTCGCAATAGAAAACATTCCGATCGCTTTACCCAGTACCTTCATCTGTCCCTACTATGTACACGTCTAACACATGACGCGGTCGATTCCCGTGGTCACATGACGAGTAAGAGTGTGTATATTGGTGCTGGTTTGGTGTACTGGCTGCTTTGGTTTCGTTTCTTTTTCCGGGTCGGGAGGGATGGTACGGTTGCCAATTCAATCGGAACCGCGGGTGTGGTATCGGGTTGTGGATAAAGGAAACGACGCAGGGATAACGGGGGTCATGTCGGCGTAGTGCCTACAGAGGTGAACACGGTAGATTGACATGCAGCCTTGGGTTTATATAGAGATTAAGATGGTTCAGAAGGTTGGCCCGTTTGTCTAATCCTTTCGCCTACGACAGAGTTTGTCACGGGACCCATCAGCGCGTTAGGCTAGTCTATTCCTACAAGATGCACTTCACAGCAGCACTTCGCTCTACGAAATCTAAGGCGGTGGCGCTAGGAAAGGTCTTTGGTGGTACCCGTTGAGTAGCTGCAGCCCGACGTTGGGCCATAGGCCTCAGACGCGAAACCCGATGCACACAAATAACCCTTGTGACGATTCCATCGATGTACTGCACCTCCGTTGATTCCGTGTTCTGTTGTTCTGTTGTGGGCGTTCGTTCTTTTAAGGGGGAAGGCAGTGGTGCGAAGAGGGCCAAGACGGAGGACGACGCGAGCAAGATCAACTGGCAAGAGGAGCTCGCCAAGGGACAGGTGAAGCGTTTCGATCCCCTTATTATTCACTCCCACTAACTATACCTGCGGACGTTTGGCCTGCTCGCCTACAGCAGGAGTGATCGATGTATACGAAGGCCTCCACAGGCGCTACAAGTCTACCCACAACTACCGCCAGCGTAGCTTTGTACACCTTTTGATGAAGAACGCACATGAACCGCAGTTCCTGACATCACGATCACTCATCCGCGTCTTCTGACCCTTCTTCCTCGCTGCCCTGCCCTCGCGCATCGGCATTGAACCGCCTTCTACGTAGATCGATCGGTTCACGGTGCCCACTCTCAAGTCGTTCCTCAAGACTCGAGGGATGTCCGCGACAGGGAAGAAAGGAGATTTGGTTGCCCGCGTCCAGCAGGCTCTACAAACGACAGCATAGGGTGCGGCTGTACACGGCATGCGCTGCTCTACGTTAGAGGCAAGCGTTCTCTGCGGCCCAGGTTGCTTGACTCGGCGGTTGCGCTGTGAAATGTGACATGTGCATGGCGGATGCTCGGTGTTCCTCGTTCTCGGTGGCCGGCGGGATGTGTGCTAATTACTTAGCCAGAGAGCCGGCACTTAACCCCTGACCGTGGGGGGTATGGGGGGTAGCATGTACAATAGAGAGGAAGCACGTCATCTTGATGATGTGAACGACGTATCGCAAAGGCAATTCACGGTCCACGATTGATAGTGAGAACCCTTCCGAAAAGATTTTTGGATACTCTCTCTTGCAGTCCTTTTCCTGGGCTAGGCTTGTACCAGTTTAGAGGATGCATTCAGAAGCTGGAGACCCCAATTTGCCCAAATTCGACGCTGGTAGGTTAAAAGCTGTGTGGACCCTACCTTGCACATTACACCATTGGGACGCATTTCTTTCTACAGCAGTGTATTTATTGAAAGAAATTTGAGCGACATCTTGGCCATGTGCGTTGAGTCGATTCGTAGCAATCGAGACCTCGCCATCTCCACCGCCAGCAGCCTGAACGAAGCTTTAATGAAAATCACTCTACTTTCGTTTCGTATTGCTTGGTGTCAAAGCCATTGTGTCGTATTGCCCACGACGGGCTATTGCACGAGACACACGAGAAGGCTGCAGCTCCAACCGGTGTTGGCCGTCCATCTCACATGGCACCTCTCTGGCCGGGACAGAGATAGACCGACGAGGAGGATCTGTGACCGAGCTGGGCTCACGCTTCCTGCCTCAATGGTCAACCCATTAAGCTTCATCAGTACACCTCTGGCCCTTTTTTTATTCGAGAACCGTTCTTCGAGCTTTCTCGGCCACAAGCGTCCCCCCCCCAAAAGGCTCAAATACAACACAACAGACCCAAAGAGATAGTTATTTCTTGTTTTGTTTCATGGCACTACACACCGTTGTTCTGCCCTCTTTCCAGTTTATTCGGTACTGTACATGTCAGAGCCAAAGAACCTGTTTGTTCTCTCTTGCGCTCACGAGCTCTACTATCCTACACAAGGCACAGACAACAAACAGTCCATTTAGAAGATAGAGAGTATGCATTGCTCCCACCAAAAGCGAGCGATCCTAGACTGCTTTGTAGCAACACGCAAGGGGTGTCAAGGCAAGGAAAACACCCAAACAAGCAGCAATATAGGGAGTAAAACCGATCGCCTCACTCGAAACATAAACTAAAAATAAATCACAAACATACATAATTGATATTGATACATGCATGATTGGAAAATTACAATCGGCTAAGAACGAACCAGGCCTGAGGATGTTACTCTCGACCCATATGGGAGTGCTCCTCGCAGATCAGGCCAACCCCAAACTATACACTGGAGGTGTGAGTAGGACTCTTCAACCAAGTCAAGGATCGAATCTACTCGCTCGCCCAATTCACGCAGTAGAGTACGCCTGCACTGCTCTGTTTCCATGCGCCCCTAACGTGAGGGGGGGCTACATCTCTCGGGCTTATCGCTGCTCATGCCAACACCCCCCCCCTCAACCCAGCTTGTGAGGGCGTTTTGAGGGGCACAAGTACCGAAGGGAACACACGATAAAAACATTTTTCCCCCCAAGAGGGAACTTGAGTCCATCGCTCCAACACCGAAGCCGGAAAAAAAAAAAATCATGAATCACGTTGTTACACCCGTGGGTGTGCCCCCAAACAAACACGGAAGCCCCCGAATCAGCTACCGTTTCGCCCCCCCTGCAAAGAAACTCAGGGGGTGCTGCCGTTACGTTTACAGACGACCAGGCCAAACCAACTTGACGCCATGAAGGTGGGAGGAGTGGGCTACACGAATAAATAGACGAACGCGCATCATGCAAAACAGCAGCGTGCCCCGGCCATCGCGTATGTTTTCACTCCCGTTCGTTTTTTTCGTCGACCTAAGAGAGATAGCTCCTCCTAATCACAGCAACATGTACCCTGACAAAGAGAGCTCATCGTTTCAACCTATACATGGGAACAAAACACTATTGTACATCACGCTTCTTGTGTAGACTTCCTTCTGTCACACAAGGAGGGTCCACACGCGACTTGAACATGCACCCCTACATACACCCACGCGCACCACACAGCAACTACTACTGCACCCAACCCACACGAACCTAGAGTCAGGAACTCCATGCATAAAGATAAATGCGAAAGCTAGCCTGAATGAAGCCAACAGGTGCTTAGATACAGAAAGACCTTTTGACTCTGATAGTCGATGTCGGCTTACCTCCATGGAGGAACTGCAGTTTGGAACGAGCCTAGCGACAGATCTTATGATAGGTCGCCAGGGGGCGCGCCTTCTGTGGTCTAACATAAACAACATAAAGTATAAAGGATGTGGCAGAGCGGCATCCCCTCTCACACAAGAAATAAGCCAGAGAGAGCTTTGTATTCCAGTAGTTTTCCCCCGTTCCTCTTCAACATTCCTTAAGGTTCAAACACGCAACGAAACAATCCGACCTCTTTCGCCTCGATAACCATATTGCTACTCCTTGCTTTCTCCACCCTGATGACAGAAGAAAGCCTAGCCAAGGAGGGAGGGTGATGGTGACACCGAACTCGGTCGTCTTTGCACTGCATGCACCACTACACGACTCATTTCCCACCCATCTAACACTTGGTACTTTAGTGCAAATACATGATCAACCCCCCACCGATTTTAATACGTGCAATAATTCGTGCCCTCATGTGCTCTGCTTAAAAAGATCACCAATCTCGATCATTTTCTACACCCTTCCGAAGATTTTTAATGTTTGCCTACGCCACACCACCATCGCCGTTGTTCATATTTTATTCACACCGATCGACATAAAAACATACGGTACCGCAGAAGCTACGAAAAAAAGAAAAAAGAAGTGCACGCAGGTTCGAATGGAGAATAATTGACATTTTATAACCGTGCAATACTCGACCGCACGCAAAAACCTGAAAAAAACGCTACTTGTACCATGCTAAAGCGGTCGGGTCCTTTCCTTGTATTCGCAGTCTGAGACGGACGACGACACTTATTTCCGCACAACCAACGAATCTATGCCGTCCAATACCATGCGTTTTGCAAAGGCTCCTCCTCCGGACTGGTTGGGGGTAGACCACTGCGTTGTACAATATCACCGTCTACTATCCAGCACGACGTGTGGCAGGCGCATGCAGCAGGTAACATCGCACTGCAGCAAGGTGATATCAGTACAACGAGCAATGCATGCATGCGGAGTGTCGATCAGACGTCATATGCAACTAGCCAGTCTCTTCGGCGAGCACGAGATGACCAACGCATCCGACACCCCGCAGAGTACGGAACGGAACGAAACATTTTCGTCTAAAAATGCAGTGATTCGTCCCTCGCTAGGTTACTAAAGACTTCGAATATCGATTCCCACGTCAAACAATTTCCCTTTCCCTCCTGGTCTTGTGCGTCACCGCCATTCAACCCTGAGAAACGACATGAAATATGTCATCAGGTATGTGAAAAGTGACACTTTCGGTCTTCTCACGCCGCAACCGATGGTTTGCGAAACCCACCCAACCACCGACGGCAACGGCACCTTCCTTGCAGAAAGGCATCTCTTCACTCCGTGGCATGACTTCTGAGGGTCTGAGGGTCGTCCGGAAGCCGCAAACTCATGCAGCAGTACGTTCTTCAAAGGCGGACTCCCCCCGCCCGGGGCAGCACACCCTCACGCCAGCAGTCTCGCTCGAGCCGCCCAGCGGGTTACATGGCCGTGCCCGTTCTCTCGAGCGAACGTCATGGCGTCCTTGTCCCAGCAGCAGCCGTTAGCCCGGGCCCAGCTAAGCACGTCCAGGTGCCCTCCCTCTGCCGCCATTGAGCACGTGTTCGAGTTCCAAGCACAACCCGCTCCTCTAAGCCACTGGAGAGCGCGAAGTTGCCCTCCCCTGATAAATAGCATCAAGTTTTCAAGTGAAATCAGCTCAATGGAGACTATTATAAACGATTGTGCAATCCGGAGAGATTTATGGCTTCTGCGTCTCCATTCCTCAACAAATACTGTACCGTTTTTTTGCGGGCCAGACTTAACTACGAAGTTTCGACAGGTACTATGTATCGGATACAAAGACTCACAAAAACTAACTCAAGCCTCTAGTAGTGGTGGCTGCGCAGCCATGCACCTACTGCTGGACACGTGTAGTCTGCCTTTTATACCCCGCGCGCACGGGAAAAGTGTGTCAGAAGGGTACAGCAGTCTATGTACACACGCGTGACGAACACCAACAAGCTCACCGTTCATCCGGAGACATGAATCTTGGCTGCTATTAGGGTCCTTGAACGCACACACGTATAATGTTGGCTGCCTGCTGTTGCTCAAGCTCAAGCGTTCTCCGAAAACACGCAGCTGCCTATCCGCCCGAGAGAACGAACAGTGGTTGCACTCGCTGTGGTTGAGCTTGCAGAAAAACTAGGAGGGAGGGGGAGGATGGGAGGAGAGCGTGATGGAGAGCGAGAGAAAGACAGAGGAGGATGGATGCTGGAAATTATGAAATTGATGCGGCGGAATAACATCAGGGCTGCCCGATGATGCTGGCTCGCTGGCTCTCATCTCTTCATTTATTGCCCGTTGGCACATGCCCCCCCCACTCTACTCGCGCGATAGGGCGACATGTCAGATAGATCTTAGATCGAGGGTAGAAAGCGCATGGGTAGCCGTGAGCAGCACAAATAGAGCCAAGGAGAACTACTGCTGTACTATACCTGTTATTATGTTGCACACTTGCACACCCACTCGAATCATCCATCGGGGAAAAGAAATAATGCACCGCACTTTGCACACTTGCACCGCATATCACCAGAAAAGAAACAAATATGGGCCTCGCGGGATATGTCGCCACGCAACGCTGCTCGGGGAAAAGACGGTTAGTGTCCGCTAACACTGCTTCTGTGAGTTCGTCGCGAATCTACTACGCACCGAGTAGCCGTATATTGAAGAAAACACACCACAAAAAAAAAATTTGGGTGTGGTATGCAATGACCCCCCTGTGCAGCAGTAAGTTGGAGGAAGCATTCCTATCTGAGGCCCCCCCCAAAGAGCCCAAAAGGCAGGGCCTGTGGCACCGAGAGCTGTCGACAAAGCCAAGGGGAAAGTAGAGAGAGAGAGAGAAAGAGAAAGAGGGAGAGCAAAGGCATATCTCGCCCTCCCCGCTCAACTCTGGTTCGGTGCAAGAATTACAGCCATGCCTCGGTACTCTCGATCGCGGAGCCGATCGCCGGCACGCCGTTCCCGCCGGTATTCCAAATCCCCGGAGGCGCCTCCATCCGACTGCGGTGAGAGCGACAGAGAGAGAGAGACAGACAGAGAGGACGTACAGCAGGTGTATGCATATAACATTCCAGTGCGTCTTGTACCAGCAAGACATATGTAGCGTAGCGGTGACTAGTGTCCTGAAGGGTCGAGGCTGTTTGTGATCGGGCCAACCAATGCACCCGTGACACTTCGTGACCGATACCCCACCAGACCACCACATCACTGCTGTTTTTCTGCTTTTGTGCCAGCCTCTTTTCCGAACAGCAGCGTTCGGTGTGGCCAGAGAGATCCGGTGCTTGTTTTATTTATGCCTATGATGCATCATAGGCGTCTCGTCCACTCGTGTGACGTGGACAGAGGCAGGTCGTCTATGCTTGACACGGGTTATCACGCCAGTATGGAAAATAATCTCGAGTCGCATGCTGCGGGAACAGCGCCTACGTTGTTTCGTTCGCCTTGTCAACTCAAAACCGGACACAACCGTCATGACACTCGTCACTCGTGTACCCCTAACCCCACTTCCACACGCCAACGAATAATAACCAGTAGAGGGAGGGAGAGGAATATCGCGACACGGCGGTATGCGCGTTTGGCAGGCGGGTAGCTGGTGTCCGTGGTGTCATCCCTGTTTTGCAGCCTACAGTTAGTTGAGCAGCACCAAAACGGCTGCTTTAACGTATGCATATGCATATAGTACTTACCAAGTACCAAGCACCGAGAACTTATCGGTTGCTTGGTCCATGTGTGCAGCAGGCTCGAGACTTCTGCTGCTCTATCGATCTCTATGCATGTGCTCGTTCGTTTCCGCAGCCTCACTTACGTTGAAGTCGTTGCCGCTAGTGCTTCCACCTGTTTCATCGCGATGCACATTATTTTTCCTTTTTGTAACACTTTACTCTGCCGTAACCTCGCCACCCTCCCTCCGATCACCTTTCCCCGCCGCGTGTTTTTTCCTTGGAACTACTGACTGCACCAACAGCCAACATTTTCTGCGGCAACATGAACCCCACCTCCAACAAGCACGACCTGGAGCACATCTTCAAACGCTACGGGAAGATCGTCGACATCTGGGTAGGTTATTTTGGTGTATTTTGCCAATATAGGGTAAGCCTACAAGGCTAACCAAAACATCTTAAAAGTATTGTACCCGAAGAAAACACCGGGGAAGTGCTGCTGCAATTTTTACGGCAGTGTTATACCATCGTAGACCCTTCCGTTGAGCGGGAGGGAGGGCCTAAACAGCACCTTAACGCTAACTCGTCTGTTCCGATTCCTTGGTCAGATGCAATGATGTGCATCGAGACGGCCCTAGGATTTGAAGCGGTGATAAGGCTGCCGTTTTGGGTGGTTCGTTCGGGATGTCCTTACACGTCCTCAAGAGCTTGAATTCACAGGCTGGATTACCAATGGCATTGGGACTCCGCAAGCCGTTGACTTGGTGACGTCTCTGGCACAGCAGCGATAGATAGCGTTTGGGACAGCCTTTGGGACAGCCTTTGGGATAGACGAGGTACTGCTGTAGGTAACTTTGCCTTGAAAACAGCTGCTGTTTGTCTCCTGCCCTTCGCCATCGTGCACCGTGTATTCTTTACTACAGCGTCTCACCGCTGTACGATCATTTTAGGGTTAGCACGTCTCGACCTCCTTGCACTCCTAGTTCTTCTCAAGAGGGTGAAGGGACGAGCACAATTGGGTTCGTCCGTCCGTTCGTTCACGCTGGGGGGAGGGAGGGACAAGGAGCAGTCCTGTCCACTTGGCTTGACCACGAACTCGAGTAGTACCACCCGTCGTCGATCGTCCCCAGCGGCCCGGGACCGCACCGCGCCGTTCCCTCGATCGTGGCCACTGTCCGTCCGTTCCCTTGGACCTCCGAGCTGTTCTGTACGACGGGTTGATCTTCGAAACACCATCGGCCTCGGGATCGTTCTCGAGTCCGTTCTCAGGATCGTTCTTGGGATCGTGCTCGGGATCTTTCTCGGGACCGTTCTCCGGGACGTTCTTGGGATCGTTATCGGGATTGTTCTCGGGATCGTTATTTATTGCGAATCAATGCGGTCGACCCGAGCTGTCCTTCCAGCTTCAGCGGGTTCGTTCTTCGAAGTACAGAAGCTATGCGTCGTCGTGGTTGTTCTACAGCCCGTCCGCAGGATTTGTTCAGTTAATTATCCGTGGATCGTTCTACAGCACGTTCTTCTTCGGATCGTTCTACAACCCGTTCTTGGGACGCGTTCTTCTACTACTACCGTACGACCGATCCTTGCGTTCTCCGAGCTGTTCGGCGGGTCGCACTCCGAAGTACCGTGAGATAAACGGGGGTTCAAATGGTGAAAGTATTCTAGATATTCGCTCCCCATCCCCCACTTCCCACCCACTAACCTACCCTCTAAATTGAAATAATGGTAATTTTTTTATTTTGGTGGGCCCTTTGCTATGCTTATACTACCAAGTACATCGACGCATTGTTGTACATTCTACAGGCCGCAAGAAAAAAAGTAGACAGAGGTCCTGTGTCCAAAGTTGGCAGGAGTCCCGCACCCATCGCTGCTCAACACGCACGGTACTAACGGCGGGAAGGAGAGAAACATTCATCTTGTCTCTCAAGAGCGACCAATCGATTGGCCTCATGATACTAATTGCCTGCCGTTGACCTGTAACTGCTGTCGTTTGGTTTCGTGTACTGCTGCCTCCCAGGTGGCCAGGAAACCCCCCGGTTTCGGCTTCGTGTACATGGACGACCCGCTTGACGCCAGGTGAACGAACTTGTACAATCCTCCAAGCGCTGGGGTTTGTGTGCAATGTGTATCGAGACAGCGAGAAAACGGCACTCACGCTCTGGTTGTCTGGTTGCTGACGGACAAAGCGGTGAATCAGTTCTCCAGCTAAAGTGCTTCAACGGTTGGTGTTCGCACCTGCCTAGTTGTGCAGAAACACGCTGTAAAAGAACGCTCAACACGGGGGTGCAATCTCTCCGACTCTCACGGCACCTTTTCTTGACAATTTGTGATTCATGTTCCCAGGAGGATGGGCGGTTCTTTGGTTTGTTGTAAGGAGCACCTTCCGGCAAGCCTTCGGAATCCATTACTCATGACAACAGGGCTCATGTGTTGAAGAACGCAGGCGTAAACATGTGGCCTTCGCGGTCGACATCATGTCCTCGCGGTTTGCACATTTTTCACGCTGACGCCCTTGCTTCCGCACCTCCCCCCCCCCCCCCTCCCCCCTGCACCCAGGGATGCCGTCAAGGGGCTGCACGGCACCACTCTTCACGGCAGCGTGCTCCGCATCGAGATATCGGCCAACAACAAGAACAAGCTTGGACCCCGCGGGGGTTACAGGGAGAGGAAGGAGCTCGCCTATGATGGAAGGGCCTCTACGAGGTGCGTGTAGGGGTAGGGATGCACACGGTGCTGGTGCTGGTGCTGGTGCTGGTGCGGTGTTGTGTGACCAGGAAACGGGGTTCTGGTTGTAGATTGCGAGGGCGAGACGTTCTGCCGCGGGTGGGTGCTGCGGTACAATGCGGTACGATGGGGTGGCTGCGGTACAACCCGGTGCGGTATCATCCGATGTGGTGCCTGCAGTGGTCGATGTTGGGGGTACAGCAGTAGAGGCATCTTGGCGGTGTCATTCGTTTGTAATGTTGTTGGTGCCACGCCGTGGTACATCGTAACAGCAGCGTGCTGCATGTCGCGTGAGACAAGGTCGTGATGTATCGTCCATATTCGCCCTTCCAAAACGCCTGCCTTTTTCCTTCTACGACTGAGCTGACTCCAGCTGCTCCCCCTTTCGCTTGTGTGCTCGCGATGTTCTGTCCTGAACTCCACGAATGCAACCATGGACCCATGTCGGGTGACCCGGAACATGATTGTTTCGACAGGGACAGGGACAGGCACCGCTCTCGCTCTCGCTCCCGCTCCTTGAGCCGAGACCGTGACAGGGGGCGCCGCGACAGGGACCGCGACTACGGCTACGGCGGGAGGGGGGGTAGGGACAGAGACCGCGACTACGACAGGGATGACAGGGACAGGGGACGCGATCGGGACAGGGATGGCAGGGGCAGGGACTACGCCCGCGATAGGTACAGTAAGAGGGCGTCCCGGGGTAGGACGGTATTGCGGGGGTTGGGCGCCTTTTCTGTGCGGATTGTGACGTGTGTGATGTGGGTGGGCCGTGCTGTATGACACCAGGCACTTGGTGTTTCATCTCCTCACGCGTCTTTCTTTCTATTTGTTGAATTTGCGGAATCAAATACGTGTGGTCGACTCGTCCTCTTCTTTCGCACCATCTCGATTATCGATTTCGCCACGGACAGTTTTCGTACAGTATTCAGCTAGCTCTTGCTGTGTCTTGGACCTGTCCCGTTGTCGCTTGACTTATCATATACCTCTCAATTCTGTCGTAGACCACGTGAGGCGGTTGCCCCACTCTGTGGTGGCAGCATAAATGCTGCACTACGTATCCACCTACTGTAACGTCAATCCTGTGTTGGTGTTTTGTGGCGACTTGTCAGCGGGCTGCGTGGTGGTCCTGACCGTTACTCTCAGAAGAAGGGTCCCCGTCGGACGGACTACCGTGTCAACCTCTCCGGCCTACCCTCCGGCACCTCTTGGCAGGACATCAAGAGGTAGGTGGGGGGTGCTTGGCTTCTCGAGGAGGGAGGTCTTGCCTACATACCGGCGACGTATTCTCGTGTGTATGTGTGTGTGTGTGTGTTTTTTTTTTTTTGCGTAGACTAGACGCCCCTCGCGACGGGTCTCGCTCGATTGGTTAGTTTTTGGTCTATCGGGAGTAGCGTCGAACACCTCAGCTTGTTTGCCGGCTTGCATTTTTTTGTCTGTCATGATCTTCGATGGTGTTTCTATGGCGTGATACTGCCGTGCAGTCAGTACAATATGGATGTCGGCACTGTCAAATGTGTTGCTCCTTTGAGGTGCACTCAACTCCCGCCCCTTGATTGATTTGAGATTGATTGGTGGTGTATCCGTTGTTGGGGATAGTGGTGGATGAGCTTTCTTGGCAACATCCTTCGCTTCAGGCACGGCAGTACTGTGTTTGTCGCCGGACGTAGGGCCGGTGCTAGGCATTAGATTTAGCAGCAGCAGCCAAGGCTAACTCTCTACACCATGCCGCGGTGTGACGCTCAGCACACTGCCGTCCATGACTGCTGTCATCAACTAGAGACTAGAGGCCAGCATGTTCCTGTTTGCTGCTTGCTGCTTGCTTGCTGTACAGCGGTAGGGTACACCTTGCCTTGTGTTGCGCATCGGCGAGAAGTTTGTATACACGAGAGTCTTGTGCAGCCATTGCATCTATCCAGTACTTCATACCCGCCCCCCGCCCATCCAACTCGCCTCTAATCGTTGTGCAGCCTGTTCCGCAAGTACGCGGAGCCGGGCTATGTTCAGATCTACACCAAGGGCGAGGGGCTGGTAGAGTTTAACTCGCTGGACGAGATGGAGCACGTCATCAGGAAGCTGGACAACACCAAGTTCGACGGGGAATACATCCGTCTCATCGTGAGTTGTCTTGTCTTGTTTGTTTTGTATGTTTCGGACGGACCAAGACCAGGTTTGTCATTTCACCGACGAGTTCATCGCTCAAATCGTGCGTGTACGGTTATCGATCGAAAGTTATCAATCGACGGTCTCGGTGCTTGCTGTTTGACCCGCATCTGATAAGATTGTAGTTGCCGTGGTGGGTGGTTGGTTTATGTGTTGTTATCGGCTTCGAGGGTACCTATTCAAGAGATGTCTTGGAGTATCGTGTTTTAATGAGGCTGCTCGGTGACGGTCATTGTACCGATGCAACGTCCAAAGCATCGTCTCTCGTGCGTGCTGCGGGGTCACCGTCACCTTGACTGTCGTACTACCGATGCCACTGCTGTCACCGCCATGGCCACCGTGGTCGACACATGGAAACAGGAGGACCCCAAGTGTAAGGCCAGGCGTGACGAAAACCCCAGCCCTCCCCGGAAGAGTCGCCGCTCTCCCTCTCCTTCCCGGTCCCGATCGAGGTCCCGATCCAAGTCCAGGTACTCGTCGGAGGCTACGATAGGGTAGGATGGGATGGGATGGGATAGGATCATGCTGACGTCTTGTAGGTCCACGTACGGAATATTGGACCATGCCCTAGTCTAGCTATAGGTCCACGTACGGAATACTAGCATTGGAGCATGCTCTTTGTAGTAGTCTACTGTAGTCTATCGTTGGTCGGATTGCACAAGAGCAGCACTGCTGTGATGTGATGTGATACTTACGTTTAATGGAAAACGTAGCTGTTGTTGTGTTGTGTGTCCTTTAGTGCTATCTAACCTGGCGCCGGTCTACAGCAGTGCACCTTTTTAGGTACAGTGGCGGCTACGGTTTAAGAGAGGGTCGTGACAAGCCAGTGTTTATCTCTTAAATCCGGTTTTCTCTTAAACCGTACTGTGAAATGTATGTATTTCTCATGGTCGTGGCAAGCCAGTTTGACTCTCTTAAATCGGTACTTTCTCTTGAATGGTCTCTTACACCGTAGCCGCCACTGCTGTATGGTATATCTATGGTGTGATATGTTTGACGAATGATACACATCACCTATTATAGGGTTGGTCGGTCACGCATCTGGTACATTGATACGCGTAGAACCCGTCGTTTGCAGCAGCGTGTTGGTGCCCTGTTGTGTACTGTACAGCTGTACAGTACTGATGACTTGCCCCGTCTGCCCTTAGGCCTGGCCGAAGACAGCAGTGGCGATGAATTCATTTTGCCCCAAGTTACGGCGATACCTGCACATGCTTATCTTGTTATCTTGGAGCAGCGGTGTTAGTGTCACCATCGGTAGGGTAAGGGTTAGGGTTGGGGTTATGTTGCTGTTGTTCTTGCTCATGCCTTATCCCCCGATCGATTTGCCGTGGTTTGTGGAACAAGTTGTCGTGCTTTCCACAATCGCTTCACATCCTCACGACCCCCCATCGATTGTACCGTATGTACCATGATGCTTTGTTTTTTTGGCGTGCGTTGTGCGTTGTGCGTTGCGTCAGACCCGTGAAGCGCAAGAGGCAGCGCAGCGCTAGCCGTTCTCGCTCTCGCTCTCGCTACTCCCGATCAAGGTCAAGGTCGAGGTCGCGCTCCAGGCCCAAGCGGAGGTGTGTGTCGCGTGTGATCTTAGGTCTGTGTGTCTCTTGTGTTATCTTGTGTGTGTCTCGTATGTTATCTTGAGTGCGTCTAGTTACGTTGTTAATAATTTTTGTTGTTCTCCTTCTTGGTTGGTTTCGACCATGCTGACGGGTTGCAGAACATGTGGCGACAACAACAACACTAATATTGCTGTTCCCTTACTATTTGTCTTGCCCGAAGTAAGAGAAAGCTGTACAAAGTGCCGTTGGCTCCTCTAGGCCCTGCGGCTTTTTTTTCTTCACTCTTTCCTATGATTCCACAGTCGTACCATGAAAAGACCTGTTTTATCTTGTTTGTGCCGATGTACTGTGTACTGCTGTGAGCACGAAGCCACCTTCTAGGGGTGCTTTTTTCAAGCAAAGAAGACTGCCTCACATCATTTGGTGTAACAGCCACTGGGCCTGGGTGGGATGTACTACGCGGGAAACTGCTTTGGAGATCTAAATTAACGTACGACCGTCGTCACCATAGATTATAATGATGGCCACTTTGTTGACAACCGCCTTACTGTGAACGACCTGCACGTGCCGACCAACAGCCGCAAGCGCTCCGCTCGCAGCCGCAGCCGCAGCCGCAGCGCCAGTCGCAGTCGCAGTCGCAGTGGAAGTGATGCCGGGCGCCGCAACGGAAAGGGGAAGGGGAAGGATAGCTCCCCAGCAGGTGCAGTAAGCTCGGGTAAATTAGAGTGATCGCATGTTCGCCGTAGGCTTGTGCTCGGTAGGCGGTTGTCTTGTACTTGTTTTATTGTTGTCGATTTGGGTTATTCTAGTGAACACAGAGTGGAAGAAGAGTTGACGTATCTTAATCGCATACTCCAGTACCTATCGAGCACCAGCCTGGTGTTTGGGAAAATTGAGCACGCTTAGCCTTGTGAACTGAGGAGGTTTGTTGCATCTATTTTTCATGCCCAACGGCACCCCGAACCTCAAGCCGTGCTGTGCCGTGATTGGACGACGCTGAAAAACGCAAACGAACGTGCGGCAGAACGGTGCTGCTGCAGTAGATGTATACCCGCTGTCTGTCAGGGTGTAGATTTCGCTGTGAGGAAGGCACGAAGCGATGCATGCGACCGAGCACACACGTTTTGGGCCTGCGCGCCAGGCTGCTGTGCGAGGGTGTTGCCCTGGCAAGGGTCGAGTCGATTGTTATGAAGCATGTCGGTGGTGCTACCGTTGCCGTGTAGTGTAATCTTCCTGCACGGTCCTCTTCGCTTGACGGTGCCTTTGTCGTCGAGATCCGGTGGTAGGCTGCTCATGTAAGAACGTGCGAGCTGGAAGGAAGGGTTTGGGGCACAGTACAGCAGTATGCTGGGAGAGCCCAGTGGTGAAGTGAAGGTTGGTGCTTGTGTCTTTTGTCTGTTCTAACCGGAAACTCTGCCGTTGTTTTTCCCTGTTGCGGTGTCTTTGACAGACGATCATGACAAGGAGAGCGAGGGCGAGGGCGAGGAGGACAACGCCTCTGCGGCGGAGGTGAGATGACTCTCAAGTCTTGCTTCATGATCCTGCTGTGCGCGGCATCATCAGCTGCACCTGTTGTGCTGCCACCCTGATTTTCAGACGTACTGTAAGCTCGAGACAACTGTACTTCGGGATAGTGAGCTCGAAACACGACGAAGTATTAAAACATGAAAAAGTCGCCGTCACCGGACCCATCAAGATGGAGCATGTAGGACGTGTTGGCTGCTTCTCTCGCTCGAGAGTTGAGGTTGAGTGTTTGTGGTTGAGTCACGAGACCTCTTTGGAGCGGATAAGCATTATATATTATAGCATGACGTCACACCCCTTGTTGTTGCGTGTCCTACCGGCGTTCTGGCAGAACGGAGCAAACGGTGCCACGAGCAACGGCAGCCACAGCCAGGAGGAAGAGGGGGACGGGGGGGAGGAAGGAGGAGACGAAGATGAGCCCGAAGGAGAGGAGGATGAGAACGAGGTCGAGTCTGATGCAGGGGATGACCAAGAAGAAGAGAACGGTGCACAAGAGAACGGACACGTTTCATCGGACTGATTTGATTGACTTCGCGATGACTTCGAGTAGAAAAGTCTTGGTTCGAGATGTGGTTGTGTTGTGTGTTGGTGTAAGGCCCTATTGATATCTCGAACTTGGAAGGAAGGGTATTGCAGGTGTAAAGGTGTTGCTGTAGTCAGTAGTCGGTTGCGCTTCGCATTGGTCAGCTTGACCAGCCAGACCTGCTGCTAGCCCTCATCACTCCTGCTTGGCACGCTGTCATATCACATGAAAGTATCAGTTTCAGCGTGTTTTTTTTGTTTTGTCGCGCATGGGGGGGACACTATTGCAATGGAGGGGAGAGAAGGCACAACAGAATTCGCCGTTCGCTGTGACAGGCTGTGGTCGAGAGAGCATGGTTGAGTTACGGATATTCCGGATCGCATGTCCCCAGGGTATTTAGCGTTGAAAGGGGGGTCGATTCCAGAACATGATGCATGTTGAATTCGTGTTGTTTGTTCGAAGGACGAGCGGAGAACCGCATACAGTAGTTCGTGTGACCGCCATTGTTCAGCATATGGCATGTGGACGGAACAGGGGGGAATTTCTGTGTGCACGAGCATAGCACAAGCTTTTGAGTCGCAATTCGTCATTTTTCCCACATCTGAACATCCCTTTATCCCGTGTAACTTGAGGGCAGCTAAATAGCTGGACGCTGGCTACGGAGAAGGCCGTGTCTTGAAAAACACGCGCTGCCGCGTCCAGAAATTTCTTGCAGTGCCTTGCATCGCTGCACCCCTGACGATTCACTCTCACACTCCATGTTTCGACGCCGGATTATTCGCGCTGTCTCTTTGAGTTGTTGCGCAAGCTTGCCCCCCCGCTCTTGTGTGTACTGTTGTTGATGCGGACATACTCAGGTTCCTCAGGTTCCGAAATTACTTACTCCAGAGTGTTATCCCTGAAAGAACCAAAAGAACATTCGCATTGTTCTGGGAAGAACAGAACAAAAGAGCAAATCAAGAACGGGTGATGCCTCTTGTACGAGGGATACGAGTGCTCGCTCGTCCCTGTATTGTAACTCATTCCGAAATCACCCACCAGCAGCAGCATGCATGCGTATCATACAAGCAGCATCAACGGGGCTGCACAGCCGACGCGTGTGCCTCTCACATCTCTCCACTTCTCTGTGCCGCTGAACAGCAAAAGAAAAGCGAGAGAGTGCGAGAGAGGTCATGAGAGGTCATTAAGGTGGCCAACAGGCACCGAAGGAGCCAGATCGGGTAGACACAAGAACCGTTTGCTTGGACTCTGGTGACAAGAGTATAAGACATGAAGCTAATTGATATTCGCGCTCTGCAGCCTTTGTACTCAGCATGAGAGCCGCAGCAGCCCCGTGCTTCTTACTCCCCCTCGTCAATCTACTGCTGCACACAAAGCACGTAGCTGGGCCTTCGATCCTCGACTTGGCCAATAGGGATGACGAGGTCAGTCGCCTCGCAAGCATCGAAAACGAACCCATGTCCCCAACAAGACAAGCATGCATACGAACGGAGACAAGAGACCAGATATCAATAGATATACACAAGTGCCCCTTGAGGTGTGAAAGGACAGTCGCCATCGTACTCTCAACTTAGAAAACAGCAACGCGCATAGGTTGCCAAATCCCGCAACGGGTGGCAAGCGAGAGACGTCTATACAAAGAATCCTAAGGGGTTGCCGATGTCCGATCGTCCCATGTAAAGCATCAAGGTGATCGTCGGCATCGCAAGCTTTGCAGCCCTATTAAAGTCAAACACATACTGGATCCCATGCCTTGACAAACACATGAGTTCCCGGAGCTACATTAGAGAGCCAAGATAGGGCTGACCAAGGTGGTTACAGGGGACATCACACATCATCACACATCACAGCGAAGAAAAACATTTCGTCCCATACCTACAACAATGCCTCCTGCTGCTGTGGTATAGGAATTCCTCTTAATCTGAGCAGGCAGCACGATCCCCTTGCTCACCTTTAACTGCTGCAACGATCCCCAACGATCGGTGCCAACGATCTTCCCGACCGAAGATAGTAAGTTCTAACGATCCCCAACGACCCCCGCCCCTCGCCTACCCTACATGTGCGTGCCCACAGAGACATACCAGTTACGCCAGCCTCTTGTCGTAGTACCGTATCTCTGCCCAAACCAAAAAAGGAACATATCAACCAGACACATACAGACACGGATGATGGCAATCAAAGATCAAAGATCTGGGTCATCCTCATCCTCTCCCCCGCCCGTGACATCCATGCCCGACGCTCCTGTTGTTGTTGCCACGCCCGCTCCCGCCTTCCCTGTAGCCTCTGCTCCCCCTGCCCGCGAGTCCGGTGGTGGTGCTGTTGATGCGGCGGCGGGTGAGCTTGTTACTGGATGTGCTGGCGGGTACGTTTCCTTCGTCATACCGGCTCCGCGCTCTGCCTCCGCCTGTGTGTACTGCTCCTGAGCTACGTCTTTCATCCTAAGGGATATGGATGGGGCGGAGAAGAGGTGGTGGTAGTGGTGGGGGGGTCGGTTTGTTGCTTGGATGACCTGTCGTTTCACCGTGGACAGCCCGCAACTGCTGAGGAGAAAACTCTCTTCATACTCCGAGAAGAGGCAGTTTCACAACACAGTTCTTAATAGGGACAGGGATGCCCACATGGGCAATAAAATACGGACGGACAATACGCAACAATTTCTTCCAACTCAGAACAGCTACCGATTGGTTTCGTGGACATGGGGGGAGGCTGTCTGGTAGAAAACATTAAGCTGCTGCATTGGGACACTGGCGAAGCAATTCGTTGCCTGAACAGAAAGCCACCTACCGGCAGACGTCCGCAAGTTTCTAGTTTCTACCAATAAGTCCGCAACCATTGTGCACTTGCCACAGCCAAACTCAGCGCCAGAGGCTGGTCAACAGCAATATGCGGGCGGTGACACGGCAAGAGGAGATGGGCGTCGAAAGCCAGATACACGGTACAATAAATCATTGAGTGAACATAAAGGCAAGATCTTCAGCACTCTCGCGCCGAAAACACCGGTCAATGAACGGTCGGTCCATGGGATAGAAGGGAGGAGTATTTGATGCAGCCTCACAGCACAGTCAACGTCATATTGATAGGACTATTTGAATCGCGTGCACTCGTCTTGTCTATGGGGTAAAAGTAGCAATCGCTGGAAGGTGTTGCAAGCTCAGACCAACGAGTCTCAAGAAATGCCCCTCACAGCTCTCCCTTGCCCTGACCTTTTTCCTCTTCCACACATCGACACGATGGAATTGTGAATACCTCCATCCGTTACAAACGTCGCTGTTAGGTGGCAACGGAGTGTCTTGGCTTTTCTCTCGTTATCTCTAACCCCAACCCTCGCCTCACGGCTCACCTCCGCTTGTGCAGCTTGGACCTGATGTGCGTGGACTTCGTTTGTAGGTCGGTGAAGTGGCGCGCGCAGGGTGTGCAGTAGAATTGTCCCTGCCCCGGGAGATCATCGTCGATCTCGAAGACCATCTCCTCTCCCTTCTCCTCTTCCACCATGAGCTCGTCTTGGATCTGGTCCACGTCTTTTCGCCTGCGGTCGGTCGTAGTCAGGCCGTTGGGTCATGGTTGGGGATGTGCATGCATCAACAAATGATGGATTTATTCGTCCGTTGCCACGATGCCACCATGAAGCTGAACTACCGAGGGGTGTCGTGTGGGACAACACACATCGCCATTGAAAATGTCGCATCCATCTGCACCATCAGAAGGAGGGTACACATGTAGACACAGCAATGACTGCATCAAACGCTGCTGCGACCCTATCCGATCCCACAAAACTAGCACAGCAGCCTACATGAGGCAGTCGGCAGCAGAAAATGCCGCATGCCTAGGGGCAGGTGGGTGCTGCTGGTACGAGAGGCAAAAACTCGGTACAACTACAAACGTAGGTACACCGTCCGCGGACATGCCGTCAAAAAAGTTTGTTCTTCAACCCCTTAAAACGACGCTTGACCAACTTACTGTAGGGGAGTGTGGTAGCCGTGTGAGTTGCGGGGTACATCGTGGGTCCCACCCCTGGTTGACACAGGAACCACTTTTCCCTCCAAACACAACCTCATAAAGACTACGTCAATCCATTATGACGGGTGCATGACAAACCTACAAATAAGCCCAGTACCCAGCCGGTTTTCCTCCACTCACTGCTGTAAAGACTCCAACACATCCCGTTCGACTACTGTGGGTATATCTCGAACGGGTATTGTAGTCTTTCTGTTTGTGTATATTGTATTTTCCTAGTAAGTGACACCAATTCTAAGTACCTGTTCTTGGTGGCGTGTCCTTTCTTGTACTCCTTGTTCTTCGTCTTGTGGCCCCCCTTTCCTCCCTTGGACTTCCTCTGTCCGAGACCCATCGTACCAACGTGTCAACTCCTCCTTTCCTTTCCTTGCGCGAGTTCTCCAAGTGATGTTTCGCTGCTCTCCAGGCCGCCGTCTCTCGAGTATCGTACCCCTACAACAATGCTACGAATCTGAAGTGCAGAGGTTACAAATAGACACACAGATACGTGATGCGTGAGTAAGGTTTCAGGCGTAACGCATGGATGAAACCAACCCCACGACGGGGAAGGGCGAAATACTTGAAGGGCGGCAAAGCCATGTAGCGTGGCTATTAGGACAAGCAGCACTTGTACGCATACATGCAGTGAGCAAGGAGTCGGTCGCCCTTGTCCTTGAAACACTGAATTCAGCAATCTTGTACCTTGACGACATCAAGGTGCTTCACAGCACCAACAAGAGAACCGCGCATTGTGAAGGTCGCATTGTTCAGGGATAACCCGAGGGTGCATAGCAAAAACAACGGGCACGAACTACCAAGCATCAAGACAGAAACTCACGCCATTGCCTACTCCGGAGTACTTCGAAGTATGTCCAATTTTGCATGCGGAAAATATTTCGTGAAACTTACAACACTACAGAGGGAACGTGATGCGTGGCTCTAAAGCTGATATCGTACAGCAGTACGTGGCAAGACGTGCTGCTGTGTGCGTGGTGAGTGGTGCAAAGTGCCGAGAGCCCAAAATCAGGGCAAAATAGAGGCGGCCCAACCATTTACTGCCGTAGTTGGAGGTCGCTCTGGAGCAGACGAGACAGAGACACCGTAGCAGACGGAGGATGTACCTGTCACGAGATTCTACAGGATCAACATCAAGCGAGCGCGTAGAGGGCGCTACTCGATAGTTGGCCCTCTCGGGCATCGAACCTTTGGCTTGCCACTTCTCAAAGCAAACAGCGAATACACCACAAATATCAGCACCTTACACACAGCAGTACGCATGCTCGCGGACCCACAGCCGGACTCCCTTACCTCTGATGCACCCAAAAACTCGCACTGAAAATGAGCGCACACCAGGACACACAGAGCTCAGAGTGCCAGGTGGTAGAGGGGATCGATGAGAGGTCAAAGCGGTGAGCGAGCGAGAAACTGAGAGCGGGGTAGCTGGGGTGCCCTCTGCGAGAGAGTTTGCGCCACGGGACTGTGAAAAAAACTCCAGACCATTTCTCGTACAACTCCCGCGGCGGCTCGATCGGGTTGTAGGCGGCTGATCGGATGTCTCGGCTCTGCCCACAGACACAGTAGAGCGGGGCACACGCACAGAGAGACCTAGAAGCTTCCACACTGGCGTCCGACTTGGCCTGCTGTAGGGAGGCAAGAAGCGTGTGTGAGAGAGAGAGGAGTCTATCGCAGAAGGGATGATGCTCTCATGTGTGCGTGCAACAAGAGGTCTAACTCTGCCAAGACATCCCCGGCCCGTCCGGCGCCCGCTGCCTAGTTCCTGCGCCTGCGTGGTAAGGTTATTCTCCGCCGACGGCGGAAGGAGTGGCGCGGACAGCAACGCCGATCATGCGAGCAGTGGCAGCGGTTACAGCGGTAGCGTGGATGGCTCACCCTTTCCCTCGGAGACAGCAACACCAGTAGGTTCAACAGAGGCCGCAGGTTTCGACCCGACTTCCTTGATACCACCGCCGCCAACCCCACCAGCAGCGGAGGCGATTGCTGCTGGAAGTGGCGCAGAGCCGTTGAGCACGGCCGCGGCCCAGTTCTTGTCCGACTTTCCTTCTAGCGTGACCCCGTTGGTGACCGATGCGGGCGTGTATTTGTTGAAAGGGGTGCTTACCGCCGGCATGCACGTGATGGGCGGGGTGCAGTCCGGCGTCCAGGCCGTGCACCACACTACTGGGCTACCCTGGTGGGCCACGATTGCCGTGGCAACGATCGGCGTGAAGATTTCGCTGCTGCCCGTGGTGGTGTACCAGGCGGGGCATATGGACCGCATGAGAGCGGCTTGGCCAGAGATACAGATCTTGAGGGGCTACCTCGCCACTTCCCTTGAAGAGGTGTGTGCGTTGGCCTTGCTATGTACCAGTAGCTCTTGTGGCAAGGACCGGGTTGCACAAGCTATCGATCTCGTCTAGATGGGCATAATACAGGTGGCAGAGCTTTGCTGGACGTGGACCTTCGTTCATTCTTGTCCCGCTCATCGGCGAATGACTACAACCGTATAGTGCAACCCCAACGCCGCCCAATCGATCACGTCAGAGTACTGTATGTATAGTGTTCGACGCGAGAGCTCTGCTGCATGGGTGGCGGTCGAAAGGCAAACGGGCTGTCAGTGGTACTGGCTCTTTTCGCGATGCTGTGAGGGTTTGCCTGAGATCTTCATTCGTCACGGCCTTGTTGCTCCTTGTTTCTACAGCTTTCCGACTTGGTCGAACATGTCCTCGTGCGCAAACAAGTGTGGCCGGCAAGAGCGCCTCAAATCAACAAGCGTTCTTTTTCCAGCACGACACCGTACGCAAGACGCATTTCCGTAGTATTACACGCTCGTCCTAGCTCTCTTCGTTTTGAAACCTGGAGCTTCTCCTCATCATGTCTCACGTCGTGTGCATGCATATGCAGCAGTAGCACGAGCATCGACAGCTTGTGCATACCGACGTGTCTGTCTGCCAAGCTTACACAGCACTATCAATAGCCGCATCACATGGGATCCAAATGCTGCTGTAAACTGTGCGACTGCTGTGTCTCGTGTCTCGACCGATTTCCCTCGTCCAACCGCCACGCCTCTACCACCGCTGGCACTGTCAGATACCCCAAGAGCGCGTGCTAGAACGATGGCGAAAGTACAAGGTCTTCTTTTCGGGCGCTCGCGGGGTATTAGGGCTGCACGGGTGAGAACAAGTGCGGAGTATCTACAAACCACGAGGGCTTGTTTTCGTGTGCGGGAAGTAGAAATAGAAGGGGATGGGGGTTTAGCTCGGAGCGCAAAACCCACTTCTCTTGACCCGATTCCGGGTTTTTGCCGGGTTGATGGTGGACCAGCTGCCGGCCAACTGCAAGGCGGACATTTTACACAGATTCGCTTCCCTACGTAAACATGAAGTTTTCTCTACTGGAAGGGGGTTGGTGTTGATGAAATCACTCCCGCTGAGTTCCGTCTATAATAGGGCAGGTGGTCCTTGTTTCGCTCGTTTCGCTCGAAGCCGCCTTACATTCTATGCAGAATGTATGTTGTTTCATATTGTTGCAGCGCTTGATCGGAGGATCGTTGGTGTACACGCATAGCCGACGATACGCGCAGACACAGCCACAGGCGGTTTGCACGCTCTTTCTTTCTCTGGCGACGGCGATGTAGATGCAGATGAGTAGATGCACTTGGGACACATGCTCTGCCGCGGAGTACCTGTCTTGTGCACAAGACAGTGAAGACGAACTGCGCACGAGCACTCGAGTATCCACACGAATAGCCCTACGTTCGCTCTTGGCTCCCATGTGTCGCGAATACACTGCAGTAGGTGTAGTAGTTCGTGCCAACCACGGAAGACCCAGCTGTCAAAACGTGAACCGCCGCCTTCGAACGCGACGTTCCACATATAACTCGATAGCGCGAAATAAAGACCCAGTGTTTTTTGTTAGTCGCGGTGATACGTAGAGATGGACCAAAGCCTCCCGCTCACTCCTTTTTGCTACGGTGTGATCCCTCTGGTTTACTTGGCCAAAGGACCCACTTACGGGGGATGTTCGCGACACCGCTGGTCAACTTGCCGGTGTTCATTACGTTCGTCTGGTCGATCCGGGGGATGCTGCGAGATGGAACAGTGCCTGGCTTGGATACAGGCGAGGCCGATACTGTACATTCGTGTTTTTGACACGGTTTCGTTCATTCTGTCCACGCCAACCCCCGTGGCGGCGGGTAGACAGCACCTTGTGGCCGGCGCTCGCTACACAGCAATAGGGCAAGTATTGCCGGAATGTAGCATAGTCTATCCATCGGGTTGTGGGAAGTACTGTCGGGTGTATTGCCGTGCTTGGAGAACGCGGCGTTGCATGCGACAAAGAAGCGATGCAGCGTCGTGCAGCAGGTAGCGCCTCCCACGAAGCTGCGTTTGATTTTTGATAACCAGCGACTGGTTGTTCCTGCAGCCTGACACGTCTTGGACATTCGGGAGAATGAAACTGGAACGCACCGCCCTTTCGTGGTCCTCACTTTGTCATTTTTCGCTCTTCAAAACTGCATTTGCTATTCGGTTTTGTGCTCTTCGTATCTCTGATGTGTGGGTTCAAAACGACCCCCTCTCCCTGCCCCTTTTTGACTCTTCTCAGGAGGAATTCTCTGGTTTGTGGACCTAACGGTGCCGGATTCAAGCCTCATGCTACCAATCATTGGAACGCTGTGCACGTACACAAGCTTGGAGATAGTCAAGATGAAGGGCGCCACGGGATGGATGAAGGTATCTATCTATACCTTGTAGGTGCATAGATTTTGAGTCGTCAGCGCTTTGGGGTGGACTTTAAAGCTACAGTTGGATGCCGTATGGCAGGATTCACTGTTTGGCGTTGTCGGTTGAATATTCCAAACCATGTTTTAGAGAAATCAGGAGTCACTAGGGACGTTTTGAAAGGGTAAAGACTAAAGTATCAAGAATCAGATGACCGCGGTTGGCTCTGTTGGTTACGCTTGGCTGTGTCGCTTGGCGGTGTCTGGGTAATGCTCGTCGCTGGGACCGCATGTGGCATCATCTGCATAACGCGTTGCTCTGATGTGGTGTGTCACGCTGCTGTTGTCGTCGTTGTGATGTGCAACCGCGGCCAGTTTTTCCAAGACGGGATGCAGACGTTCATCATCTTGATGCTCCCCTGGGTCAGCACTTTCCCTCAGGTATGTGTGACCCGCTACGGTGCAATCATGGCGCGAGCTTGTTTGCCCTCCATCTGAAACGTTGTCACGCATGGCGGCGTTGGTGCGGTGGGTTGGTGTAAGGGACCGGGTGTGTTACTGTCATCTTGCGTTAATTTTCTGACATGTGGCGAAGGTCTTCTTCTTTCTTTGCAGAGCACGAAATGCAACTGAAATGGGAGCTGCATCCGCGAAAACCTCTCTGACGACAAATCGGCATTGAATCTTGTATTGCCGTCGTCGGTCCTGTTAGGATCGGTATGTGCCAGACCGATTCACCCGCCCGATAGCAAGGCGCCGGTCCTATTCACAACACAGATCAAATTGAATATTGTTATTATGCCTAGAGAGTTCACCCTATATCGGCTATATAGCCCGCTCTATTGACGGCTCATTTTTGCCTGTATCAAGCTTTTTCGACGTGCGTGCAAAGTGCGCGATGTCTTTGGTGTTACGTTCCCACATCTAGATTCCGTCGACAGCAATGATCTCCACGTTCGCTCGAAACAAGATGACCCTACCTTGCCCGACACGTCAAATAAACGCGTGGATGACGTCATTGGTTGGTGCATCTCGTTGCCACAGCTTCAGCAAAAGTGGCTGTAATTCTCTCACCCCGCCTCTCTCTCCACCCGTCGCCATGATCAGGGCGTGTTCATGTACTGGATACCTTCTGCAGTATTCCAGATGGGTCAGACGTACACCATGAAGAACAACAAGGTGCGCGAACTCCTCGGGTTGAAGCCGCTGGGTCTCCCACCCAGGGAAGCCGCCGGCGCCACGCCATCGCTAGCACCAGCACCAGCACCAGCACCAATACCAGCGCCGAAAGCCATCGGGGGCTAGCACCGAAAGTCGTCGGGGGCTACAGGTATAGCACGGAAAGACATCTGGGGCTGATCGGCCCAAGGCCGGCCGGAGTGTCCGACCACCGGGATGTAGCCGTGAAGTAGGACGTCAGGAGCAGAGGTCGGGGTTTTCTGACTGGGGCAGCAAGTGGACCAAGAATAGCAGTAGTTCTGTCGACCGCCCCTTTTGTCAAGGAGCAAGTCCAGATGTCGATGCGAAGAAAGGGCCACTACCGCTGGAACGAGTTTTTTGCAATGCCTGAGAGCTCACACGCCATGCGTGTTGAGACGTTGTGACTGGGTTGGACGACGCGCATTGCACACCTTCGCCGCTGGCAAACTACTGTCCTTGCCCTTGTTCCTCTCTGTCTCTGTTGTTGTCTTGTGATGCGTGCGTCTGCCTCATGCTCTGAAGTTGGCTACCTGTAGCCCGCTACCTGACGATTCACCTCTCTCTTCCGATCTGACTTATTACATGCTTTTTTGTTCCGATCTTCCTTCCATATTGCACCATTCCCTCCGCTATGTGTATTGGCAGTCTCAATCTGTTGCGTGTCTTTGTTTTTTTTTTTTCTCATGGCATGTACCTTGGTGTACCATTTTGATAAACAATCGGGTTTTTGGTGGTGAAGACAGACAAAACCGAAGAAAGTTAGTCTGTTTGAACTGCTACGTACAAGTAGTACAAATAATGTATTTAACTTCTTTTAGTCTCTATGGGTGGTGTCCCCCCTCAAAGCTTGTCTCGTCGCCGTTAGCATCGCCCTCACCATCCGGTGAAACCGAGACAAGAGAAGAGAGAGGCACTCTGGGGCCATAACCCACGGCAGACTGATGATGTGGACGGACGGGTGTTTATTGTAGCGTCTCCTCAGACAGAATCAACGAACCTTCTTTCCCCCTGCTTCTTTGGGTGTGAATGTACCACAGGCTGCACAGCGGACTGTTTTTCTGGCGAGGTTCTTTCCCGGAAGGGTCGCAGAGGAGACATCTTGGTACATATATATATATATATGCATATGTTAGACATGTTTCGGTTCTAAATTTACCACACTTTGTTGGATACAGCGCAGTATCGTTGCCACACGTACTTGCCCTCGCTGGACACACGGTACCGATCACACGATCACACGCGCGCACAGACAGACACACATTCCCGTCCATCCATCCTTCCACGCTCATGGTCCTACATACTTTACTCTTCATATATATGGGCTTGGTTGCTTGAAACAATGTACATTATTATTATTCCATGCCTAGTCTACACGTACATCACTCATCTCGACAAAGCTCATTACTGTTACATTTCTCCGAAAGGCACCATGAGAGGGAGATGAGAGGGCAGTAGCAATTTGCGGCCCGGCCCGCGAGGTTGTAAGCTTTTAAGCGGGGCGGGGTGTGGCGGGCGGGCGGGCGGGCGGATTTTTTTTCTCGACGTTTTTTGAGAACAGGCGGAGAAAGTCACAAATAAATAATGCCGCGTTTTCACCGTTTCAGAAAGACGCCGTCAGATTTCAGAACCACAAGGGTACCATTCCAGACATCAGAAAAATTAATAAGACATCAAGAAAAATCAACGAATCGTTGCTTTTTGAGAAAATCGACCGGAAACTGGCGACTGGCGACCTGCTAGTCTGCTGGTGCTGCTCTGCTGACTTTGCGTTGTGTGGCGAAAAAATACGCGACACCTCTGGCCGATGTGGACTGCAAGCCTACGCTCCTAGGAAAGAGAGAACGTAGCGGCGGGATCCTGTGAGACAGGTTACACGCGCGGCGCCCCCGGTGGTGTTGTTCTCGACATTGGTCGTCAGGTTGGTGATGTGAATGCGTTGTGTCTGCTATCATGATGTGAGAGATGGGTTCCGGCCATCGCGCTGAAGTTGAGGTATAGGGTCTTGTCTGCTCTCATCTCAGGTGCTGCGGTGATGCACCGAGAGAGAGACAGGAGGAAGAGAGAGAGAGGGGAGTGAGGAGTGGAGGCATGCCTCGACTAGAGACCCTTGTGAGGTGTCAACAGCGGCAGTCGTACTGGCTTAGACAGGGCGAGGGTGGTGTGAGCTCGGCAACAAGGCGGCACGTCTACCGAACAAGCAGTTGTGTAGTTGGTTGGCCGCTCGGCGAATCTATCTGTGATCGTCTACATAAGTCAGATTTCCTTCTCGAACCGGAGACTGCTGCGTTTGCGCGTGCATGCATGCGTGTTGTTCATGTGGCGCCTTGTTGATTGTTGCTGTCCTCATAAGGCATGGCTACGATGCTGCCGCTAGTCATTGGTGACTTGTTTCACCCGGGTGATTGTGCAATATGAGCTCTTTCGTTTCGGACAATTTCCACTCTTGTTCTCTCCGTGTCCGGCCGGATATGTAACCGGCCGCAGCACAGCAGCATAGCCATGCGGCAGGTATGGCTGGTGTGGTGTCGTCATGCCTTGTTATTTTATTCGTCATACGCGTATTCGTAGCACACGTGTTCAATAGCTGATGGCTTCTCTCCGAGACGTGCACGTTTCCCTCGCGTGTGATATCATCGCGGCGTGCACGGGCGGCGACGCATGGCACAGGAAATTGATTCTCCACCCTCACCACAGACGACAGCGGTAAATAGACACAACGTCACACTGGCCCCAGATCCCTTCCTTCCAACTGAAAGGACCCATTCGGTGCAACTACAACACAGCAGTAGTATGCAGACGACGGAGGGCTTGAACCTCCATAATCTCGTTCAGGAGCAGGAGATGGTGTACTCTCCGGTGCTCGCAACCCGAGCTGTCTGTTCTTTACATTCGTTCCACATGTGCAAAGGAAAGGCGCTTCCTATGCTACTAGTCTATCCCTGCCGTGAGGCATGTCCCACACGCTCCTTCGAAGACCAAGTATGAAGACGATGTTGCTGGTTCTCCTGTTTTGGGCGAAGTGGACGTTGAAATGGTTGTCGGTTTGTTTTTTGCATCGCTCTCACCACAGTTGTCGAGCTCAATCACACACCCCTACGAACCACGTTCAAAGCTACACCTGTGAATCGTGACTTCTGCTGCTCTACGTTTTTGTACTCGCGGCATATACTTTCACACAGCAGGATGGACGTCGGGACAGAGAGGCCTCAACTGGCTGTGCGGCCATTCGGCGAAGGCCCAGTTGAAGGCAGCAGTAGTGCTGAGCAAGAATATGGTAATAGTAACACCAGCAGCAACGGCGGCTTGAGCGGAGAGGTGCAGCCGGCCGTTATATCGGAGGGCGAAGATAGCAGAAACAGGTGAGTTGTAGTAATGCCCGGTGTCGTATCTATGTACATGGGTGGCGTCGAATTATGGTGTGGCTTGTGACTGCCCATAAGGGAGAATAGAGGGCTCCGGTGTCGCATCGAAGGTGCCGAGATCAAACACGGAACGACTGACAGAAGAACGAATGAAATGAACGTGGCTGGCTGAGGCACGAATCAGAGTGCTAGTGTTGAGTGTTGTACAAACACTGCTGCTGTGCGTGTTCTTATTACGGTTGAGGCCGCTTCGTAGCACCGAGCACCGACCGACCTTGCCTGGCGAAAGTTTGTAGACACAGCAATAGGATCCGCCGCTGCTGTCTGCGCGCGCTGTCATCTGTCAACTGCCAATTCTGCGTGTATCAAGGGCAAAAGATGAAATGCCTTTGCTTTTGTAAAGAAGCTGTTGTTTAACTGCAAGCGTAAGATCCTAGGACAACCATTCAAAGATACATAAAATCCGTTAACCAGCTCTCTCAGCGGTGAATCTTGCAGAGGGCGCAATTTCTGTCCTGTCTTCCGGCCAGCGCGTTGGCACTGCTGCATCGATGCTGCTGCCATTTTAAAAATATGTTTATATTTTTGCAGCGATTGACGTGGTGTGTCCACCCGCAACCCCCCAATCACCATCTCGGGCGGTTCATAATTGTGTCTCCTTGTTTGTGTGGACTCTATGCACGAGGGCCCAAACCTCTTGATTTTGAGAAGGAGCAACACCACTCAACGCTCATCTCGGTGCTGTCATCCGCCCCCCCATTTTTCTCACCTCACGCTAGCGATTATCATGCCAGAACAAGCGAAGACCGATACTTCACTCCCTGTTTATCTTCTACCCTGTGTGCCTATTCGACTAAAAATCACACCTTTCGCTATTTCTATATACGTGTTTTTCATGCACCAGCCCGGGGCTCACCTGACCGTAAACAGGGAGATTGCTCGTTTGTTCCACCGTCCTCTCCGAGGGTAACCCCAAAGCACGGATTGAATACTTTATCGCATATGTTTGCTTAATCAATTTTGCTATGTACGTAGACTACTGGTACTTTCCCTCACGTGGAGGCGGTGGCCGTACCCTCTCTGTTTGTTGTGTGTAGTTACGACTTTGTGCTTATTTTCGTCACCTGCTTTGTACAATTGCGATTTGTTTCACTCTGGAGAAATTCGAACACACAACCTAGAGCCAGGAGATGTGTACGAGGATACTATCCCAACGGCAACACTCAGCCGCGGTTATTGTTTAACCGAGCTTCGTGTGTGGTACACAATTAACTTTATAATCGAGTTGCTGAAGGGGCGGCCGTTCTCTCTCGCTATGAACAAATGAACGTATTGTGGCGAGCACAGCGGCAGAGTAGAGCAGCGGGAGACCAAAATAAAGCTCCCGCTTGGTCTTCCCTTCCTTCTGCATTACTTAATGACTTTGGCTGGTGCGTCCTACGATACCGAAAGGTGCAGTCTGACCGGCAGGCGGAATAGATGGGAGACGAAATCACGTATTTGTATCGTATATTTTTCTTTGTCGGCCCCTTCGTTTTCTGACGACCTTCGCATGACAACAATTTGGTCCGGTTCCTGCCCTGTCTCGGACGGGATACTTTGTCGGCGAAAAATGAGAGTATTTTCCACCAAAGGATTGTCTTACCGTAAGTGACGCAAGATAGCACACTCACAGAAGAGGGCATAGCACACCCCCAACACATCTCTCCAGAAAAGCACACCCCGTGGTGTTTTTTTTTTTTACTCAGAGAAAAACGCCAATTTATCACACCGGTGACGTAAGATAGCACACCCCCTAAAGTTACGCCGCATTTCCAGTCACGGAGCCTGATTATGGTGGCTGGTGGCAGGTTGCACGAATGTGCACAGCCCGACGTGCAAACACGAACAGGGCACACAAGCTGGTATGCACACAAACTAGGACAATACAGAGGTTGAGGACGTAGACAACCCTCCTGACACAACCCTGCTGGAAGTGACATCTGTCGCTCACACGGTGCCATCAACATCTGTCTGCGCCGGCGCCTCCACGGGCGACCACATCATTTTTCTCGAAGCACCCCGCCGGCAAGCCAAACGATGAGCCTCCATCAGCACCTCCCACCACCGCAAGTGCTGCCAAAGCCCGCTCAACAGCGAGCGTCCGCCGAGGCCCGCACAACATCGTCGGTTGAGGACCGGACAACATCGTCGGTTGAGGACCGGACAACAGAGTCTGCTGAGTGTTGTGACACCCCGCTTCATTTATCACACCCCTTCAAGGAACGGTGGAGCAGGTAGATATATTATCACGCCCGCTTGGCGTATCACATCCCCCGGTTGCGGGCTCCGTCGGCGTGCACTTTATCACACCGGTAACACAAGACAGCACACCCATTCCAGGAAAGCACACCCGGTGATGGAGTTTTTTAAACTCCAAAATATTGTCACCAGGATGTGCTGTCTTGTGTCACACACGGTATTCGACCTCAGGAGTTTGACCCATCTCCCTGCACCCGCTGAGAGCAGCGCTCCCTTCGGGTTCATCAGCACTCCTGAACGGTTGGAAATGACCAACTCAAAATCCACGACTTTTCCTCCACGAGATCCCCGACGGTGTCCCTCCGGGGCTCTCCCTCTTCCCTCCTATCGCCGATGCGGGTGGTTCTGCGGCCGCTGGGTCAACGGGCTCGGGGAGGGCGGGTCGTCGTGGACATGGACACCCGCGTCGAGCGCACTTATCATAGGTGCTGATGAGGGCGTCCGTGTAGTCCCCCGAAACGGGGTCGATTTCAGTTCCTGGACGGCCGGCGGTTGACGAGGGCGTCCAGGTCCACGACGACCCGCCCTCCCCGAGCTGGTTGACCCGGCGGCCGCAGAACCACCCTTTTGTGTGGGGTGGTTGGTTTTGTTTATGATTTAGTTTTGGCAGGGCATATCGATCTTTCCCACGCTTGAGCACAGAGGTCACAGTTGGCGCAATTTTCCACAAGTACCCACCAAAGACACGCTTCCATCAACAACCCCGTATCCCGGCCCCCCACACGTCAGGGATACCGTGTCCAAGAAGGGGTTCCAGCGTTGGCTGAGGCCTCCTTCTCCGATACCCGGCTTGAAGAAGAAGTTCCGCAGCAAGCGCTCGAGAGGAAGTAGCCTGGACGGTGAAGTTCTGCATGCCTTGTCCGGGGTGGACCGGGAAGGAGACTTCGTGCTCACTCCCGTGGGATCCGACGGTAACAACTATGCCGGTGATTTGGATACGAGCGCTGGCACCGACGCCTTGGACGATGCTGGTAGTGACAACAGTGGTGCAAGCGTTGAGGAAGGGGGTGTTAGTGCAGAAGCGGTAGCAGCGAACCTTAGAGGGGGGGGGAGGGGGGAAGGAGAAGACCATAGCACCGGGCAGCCGAAACGAGCGACCAAGCTCGCGAGGGGTCTGTCGAACGTGGCCCGGCGGCTCACGAAGCGGTCGGTGGGGTCATCGGAGGCGATGAGCTTAGGGAGGGATAACAGCTACTTGCGTGCGCACGATGCTGATTTCGACGGCGATGGGCCCAGATCGTTCACCGGGGGTTGGAGCAATAGCCCAACGTCGCCGGAGCATGGCGAGAGGTGCGTAACGCTTTTCACTCATACCTTAAAAATTGGTTGCATGGTGTGCTGCAATGCTCCGTTGCTTTCATCTCCCCAGACAGTCATTTGTGGATTTGTTTCGATGTCTGAAGGCCAGGGACTCCTTCCAAACGCCTGTCCGAATAGGGAGTGAGTGGCCTTGGTACGTGCCGTAATCTAATCAACTCTCGTGTGTCAGCGTGAGGATTTTCTCTTGTACGCATGAGCACCCCATGAGGCTACGCTAAGGGAGGATCATGCCGATGATCCCTGTCGATCAGCGTCAAAGGATCCCATAATTTATTTGGGTGAATAGCGTGCTAGTTGTTGATGCGTAGCTTTGATGAGGTCAGCAGTGCCGACGTGCCTAGTATAGTCTACGTCCACAAGAGGCCAGAACCAGGTTCATGCTGCTGTCTTTTATCCTTATTTTTTTTTGGGGGGTGCGCACGATTCATCCTTCCACTCGGGCATTCTATGTAAGAGCGGTAGGACACGATCATGCAAGTTGCTTGTAGCGTCACTTTGGATCCGTGCGAATACCCTCGACAATGGTGTTCTCAACGCCGTCCGTTTATCTTTCGAATTTCCATCGCCTAGGCACAGGAAATTGCCCCAAGACTGGCATTTACCTCTCACAAGCACGAGCCCCGTGACGCCCCCGATGGCGTCGCCGCCGCCGCAAGCTGACCAAGGCAGGCCTCCTCGCAGCAGCACCAGCAGCCGGCGGCCTTCTCCGACAACGAGCGGAGAAATGTTGATGCCGGGGCTTCCTCCGCCCCGAATGCCACGAATCACTCGAGGCCTCACGGACCCGGGGAGTCCGTGCGATCACCGGAGGTTCGAGGGGACTGTAACGGGCGTGGGCAGTGAATCGCGCAGGAAGGAAGATCTACTGGAAAAGGGGGGAGAAGGCGTGTGCAGGGCAGAGGCACGGGAACAGGAGGGGAAGCCGGAGGTGGCCAGAGGCCGGCGTGGGCTGTTGGAAGGGAGCAAGAGCAAGAGCCTGTCTCCGAAGGGGGGGTGGGAGGGCGTCGGGGAGAGACATCGAAGCCGCTCGGCCTCCCCAAAGCGTGTGGTAAGCGAGAGGAGACAGCAGAGAGAGAGAGAGAGAGAGAGAGAGAGAGAGAGGAGAGAGGAGGAGAAAACATGACTCGTCGTTCATATCATGCAGTAGTTTCGTTTCAACACTACCGTCTCTTCATAATCGTTTTGGGGTTCGTTGCTTTACTGTCGTCCTCGTCTTTCCGCGCGTCGTTGATCTGAATCGCCATGGCCGTTGCAAGCGCAGTCCGCACAAAGAGTGACCTGTATTTGGGGAGGGGTGGAGAGGTCGCGATGATTTTCACGATGACATCACCGCTCGCCGTGCGGGCCAACTTGCTGTGTAGAGGCATCGACAGCAGTTCATGCTCTACCGATTCTTACCAGTATACACGAATCTTCTTGAACACTGAATACTGTTGGAAGGGAAGTATTTGTCTTGTCCTGCGTATGAACCCCAAGCTGCGTCCAAAATCATAGCTCCTCGCGAGAAATGGTAGCTGGGACTGAGGAGGCGCGGATGTGGCGTGGTTAAAACCGCGTTGCCCCTTTTCAACAAGCACTGCCAAGCGTCTCTGTGCGTTGAACAACAGGTGTCGGGTGCATGCCTTCCCACTGCTATTGTGTGCTATTGATCAATCCATTCCAGAATCCCTTCAACCGCAAGCCCGTGTCACCCTCGGGGAACGGCCAAGACCAAGAGCAAACCCAAGGCCGAGGCCAAGATGGCCAGGAGGGCCACACCGATCAAAAAATTAGCAGCTTCAACCCAGCATCACCAGTCACTACTAGCGCAACCCCGCCTTCCGACGAGGCGACAGCGGCACAAGCGACGAGCAAAGCGAAATTGAACGCCGAAAAGATTCTCCACTGACAGGTCCAAGTGTGACGAAGTCATCAAAGGCCATGTCAAGCGGGGCGACTCAGGACATGCACCAAGCGTTGTTGAGGATGTCCCAGCTGCTCCCGCGAAGGGTCCGCCCTGTGTGCCGGCGGCCCTGCCCCCGGAGCTGAAGTATGGTGATAGGCTGAGGCTCAAAGCCAGGTAGGTAGATACAACTTTTGGATCGTCGGTGTGCCTCGCCTGTTGATTTGGTACGGTACGCTCATGAATGCTTGTAATCACCGCTTCGAACGCTTTCGTAGGCGGTGCTTGCCGAGCACTACACCACCCACTTCAGGAGCTGGTTCCTCGAGTTGCTGATTATCGGTTCCTCTGTTCCCCGGTCGTTGCTATTTTCATGTCCCACCGCCCATTCAAGACCACCGTTTCTTAGCCCCCATCGCCTTCTACGGTGCTCAATGTTGATGCAGGCCTCTTTCGCCTTCCAGAGGTCACCACAGGCCCTCCGGAGGGAGTGACATCTCAGTCGGTGCGTTGGGAGAAGGTGGTGCTAGTGGCCCAGCTGAAGGCGTGGTGGGAGGAGGCGGGGGCTTTGTCGGTTCGCTGGAGAAGGTGCAGAAGGTATCGACGAAGCTGTTCAGGAGGAGCGAGGTGGCGGTGATCAGCCAGTCCGAAGGGAAAAACGCCGCGGGATTCACCAGCTGCCACTTCAAGGTGTGCAGTCGTAGCAACGCGCGCCCCGCTGTACGTTGTCGTAGACGGCAGTAGTGTTGGTGATATGTTGCCGTTTTTTGTTCCGTGCCGATGGGAGACTCGCGGTGCTTGTGCAGTCTCCTTCAAACAAGTCTGGATGGTGGATATTTGGTGTAGGTAGTAATTGAATTGCTACTAGGTTGTCGATGCGGTGATGGTGTTCTGGAGGTGTGGGCAGCGGTGATTTCATTGCTTTCGATTTTCACAGATGTGCCCGTCGTTACCGTTGACCAGACTACTGGAGTTCTCGCTCCCCCTCTCCGGTAGGTGCTTTTGGTGAAACAACGGTCTCCTGGGTTACCGATGTGCTAAGGTCTTGGTTCAACGACCCTTTATCAATGTACATGTAGTTGTGTTTCCACGGGAGTCACCAATCCCTGGGCCAGTTGGACACCTGTTGGGTGTTTCTGTTCTGTTGCTTCATGCATTTCCCCCTTGTTTTCACGTCTTGCGTCACAGGCCGTTGACCCCGAGAACAAGAAAAAGGACGGGGACGTAGTGCGCTACGGGGATGTGATCTTCCTGGTCGACGACAGGAATTACGTGTGGAGCGACAACGTGAGAAATGTACGCCCTCGTGTTGTACAATGTATGCTACACTGCCTACTGTTGGGGTCCACCACTGGCGGTGTGCCTACTGCTGTTGCACGGGCACGTACGCTGTGATATGACTCTCATGCACGGGAGCTATTGAGTTCCGCGGCCTAGTGTGAACTGGGTAATTTGTTGATCTCACTACGGAAGAATCTGCTGTTCAACAAGTGCCGTCCTGCAGTGTCAGTATTTCGTTAGGCTTGGGCTACTGTAGTTCGTTGTGACCGTGACCCCCTGCTTGTTTGTTCCCCCCCGGCGTGCCCGAACAATGCCTGCTTGCATCGTTGCCGGATCTGCGTCTTATGCAGGGGCATTTGTTGCCTGGGTCGTTGAGAATGAAATCCAGGGGATCGAAGCGGCAAATCGCGGTGAGCTTCAAGCCCTTCTTGGCGCCGCTGAAACTTGATGCCAACAACGAATTGCCTGCAGTGGTGTTCAGCACGCACGGATTACAGATCACGACGGTCGAGTACAGCAGCAAGGACCAGAACACCAAGAAGCGACGCACTTCTTCGAGGTGGGAGAGAGACTTTGAGGTTTCGCCGTGTTGTCTATTGACGGAAGTCTGGGTTGGACAGCAGTTTGTGAAATGTCAACTCTTTGCCTTGCTGCGACGTCTGTGGGGGCGATGACGGGAGGCTTGCTTGAATACAATATCGACTTGTCCAATATCTGAAGACCCGGCCCTCCTTGCCCTTGCCTCTTGCTGAGCAACTCTCCTCCCTTCCCCTGCGCCGCTCCTTCTGCTACTTGACTTGGTGTTTGTCGCTAATACAACAATAGGAAGAACTTCCATGCACTGACCGCTTTCTCGAAGAAAAACAGCGGCAATCCTAGCGTCAACGGGGCGTTTCTCTGCGCAGACGGACGAGGAGAGGGTGTTGTGTTTGAAGTGCATCTACCCAACGAGAGTCCCATCGGGGACCCTTCTCCAGTAGTGACCAAGGTGAACGGTGCATTGTGGCATTTTTTTTTGGGTGGGTTTCAACTCTGCTCTGTTTTCGGACTGGATCGGAGTGGGCAAGAATGATGAAGCTCTTTGGTTGTTCATGTGGCGTACACTGTACTCGTGAAATGTATGCGTGGTCTGTTCTGTTTTTTCCTCTGACGCATAGATGTTGTAGCGGAGCGAGGTGTGCTGTGAGTCAGGAGTCACCTGAGGCAGATGTAGTAATATTTTGGATAGTTTTTTTGGTTATCTACCCCGCTCTAACGCAGTACCGCCTCTCTCACGTTGCCAGGTTACGGTCCACGTGGATGAAAAGCCTCGGCTGCACGACAAGATGTCATTTCTCCCCCCGCTCTCCACCAAGGTGCAAGAGGCCCACTGGCCGTCCGAGGCCCCGACGGCCCCTCTCTCTTGCGTGACGGCGGACGGTAGCGGTACCGGACAGGGTTCGAGCGCCTCCGGAATCAGACTAGAGGACAAAATCTCGCAAGGGAGCGAGAAGCCCCGGCCAAAGTCAATGGTATCCAAAGTTTTGCCCGTCGGGCGCAAGCTGAAAACAGCCCACAAGCGGCGGAGCAGCCTGAGCCAGAAGAGGCCAAAGAGCTCCAGCGTTGGGCACAGCCTTGGTGCGACGTCTGGACGGGGCTTCATGATGCCGGAAAGCATCCCCAGCCCTGCATGCTCTCCGACCAACTCGGAGCTTTCTCGAAGTAATCTGGATGGAGACGACGAAGAGCTTCTTCTGTCTGAGGAAGGGGGTGCCTTTTCGGACGGAGACATGGTGGAGGGGCTTAGGTGGGGGGACTCCGTGAGGTTCAAGATGCCCGACGAGGGGCAGGTGGGTTCCCCGAAGAACATGGCTAGGCCGCACGATTGGTGACCACTTTCGACCTGTTGAGCACGAGGTTTGCTGTAGTTGTGCTGTTTCGAAGTTGCCGAGCTGCTGTGGAAAGATGCATAATCTGAAAACCGCGACCCCTGTTGGTTCCCTCGCTGAAATTCGAAGTGGAACCATGAACATATTGGTTACCCTGGCGGATATCATTTTTGACCATTGGAACAAACGCCCCTGTCCATCATTGAGTTGCCCCCGCGGTAGTCCAAGTCGGAAAAAGTAGAGATCC